TAGAGCCGAAAATTCAAATTTCAAAAAACAGTTGCATTATGTAAACAATAAATTATTTTAATTAATACCAATTCTGCACAAATCCCAAAGTTCTTCATAAATTATTAATTTTATATTTTTTCTATCCATTCTCAACTTTATTAAGAATAAAATTTGAGCAAAATGAGTAAGTGCATGGTAAAATCTGGTTTAACCGTCAAAAATTTTTGAATATTATAACGGCCATAAAAAATTTGAATTTTTTTGAATATAAATTTAACGGATGTTATATGAAATGACGGTAGTCTGAATAAAATAAACAAATCTAAGCAAAATTTAAATATTTATACCTTCAACGAATAATCTTAAGATGAAAAAAAAGTTTAAAAACTAAATTACATAATAATTTTTGATCTAACTTGCCACAACGTTCCTGAAAAAACTTTTTTAACATTTCATACATAATTTATATCGGTTTAAAAAATACATCCTTGACGATGATAAACAACATTCCACTTCTTGTGTAGATGACAGCATACAAATCACATTTTGTTTTATCTCTTCAAACAAATGAACTAAAGATGAATTTTTCACACTTAATTATGTCAAGATGGAAAAGTTATGATAAGTTTTTGCTTCATTTTATTTATTCTATGTATTCCAAAAATATAAATACTTGTAGATAAGTAATGCTTGATTTTTTTTCTTGATAAAGATGTTTGTGGGCTCATTGATTGAAAAGATAATAGAAACTTATAAGTTATTGCAAAATAATATCGCAATCTTTGATTAGTTTTTCATTAACTTCTGAACTCACATTAATACAACCTTCTCCAGTCCAAAAGATGATACTATATAAAACGAATGAGTGGTTTAAATGGGACGGAGAAAATCGATATCAATATTAACTTTCTGAAAATCCACACTCATTTCATGAATTACATAAAAAGTTTATTCACATAAAAGATACTTAACAAATTAGGTATATAGATCGAAAAAGGAAGATAAACTTTCGTTTATAGGATCAGATAGGATCGTTGAACTTGTTTATGGGTTCAGTTATTACATCTATTGATTTATTATAAAAAGTTGTGACCTTAAACCAAAGGGAGGACAAAGCAAAAATTGTTAAGAAAAAAAACGCAAAAATGTTTACTCTGATGAAATTTCCAAGTACTCCACTTTGTATTGAAATTGTCGAAAAATGAAATTTTCGCAATACTTCCTTCCGATGCAGTTTATGACCAACATTTTGATTGGAAATGATGAGAATCATGATTAAAGACCTTTTGACATCTAAAATTTTTTACTTGGATGCTTCAGATCCTTTAAATTTGACTTTTTCAATTTCGTTTGTGGAGTACTTGGAAATTTCATCACAGTAAACATTATTGGGTTTTTTTCCTTAGCAATTTTTGTTCTGTCCCCCCCCCCCCCTATCTTAAACTAAACTTTTTCACTAAATCAAAAATTATTCGGAAGTGAATTCTGTCTTTACAATGATAATATTTTTTTATACTAGTAAAGTAATAGTAAACTGTTTGCAACTGAAACTGTTTTAGAATACTAATAAAGTTCAAAAATTAATCGTGATTTTCAAAAATATCCTGTAAATTTGTTTAAGAGTCAAAGCCTTATTAGCATATTTTAATTGAGATAAAACTGGAAATTAAAGTATTAGAGAATGAAGACAACATTGTGTACTTACGATTGAACTTTCAAATCTAGTCTCAAACATTCATTTAATAGACTACATTAAATTCTGGTCTTCATTTAAATTTATTTCAATTTGATTTCGAAAAAGTCTTGATTAAATTTGTAAAACTTTCCGAATATTTTTCACTCTATAACTTGGATCATTAGTTACATAGTTTTTCAATCTCATCAACTTCCTCTTTTATATTTAATTGCCGTGAAATTTCCTGTTATAATAAAATTTTTGCTTCTCGCCAAAAAATATTATCTTCTTTCCTTTTTCCTTCATTTTTATGAATCACTAAGAAATCCTTTATCTATAGCATGACAAGACAAATATAAAAATGAATATATAAGACATGATAAGATGCGAGAAAAAGGAAGAGGAAAAGCCATTTAATTTTATTACCAGCATTTAAACAAAAAAAGTATAAAATGTAATGAATTTTTCTTATTGTTTAGAAAAAAGTAAGTAATATAATTATGATTAATGGAGATTGTTTAAAAAATTTATATTTTAAAAAAAATGCTTATTTATGGTATTTTATCACAACATGGGTAAAATGTACCATAGATGTTTATAGAAAAGAACTGATGATTTGTTGGTCTTTAGGGTTTTTTTTAAATCTGTTTTGTTCTCTAATTCTTCATTTCAACGCGAAGAAAAGACTGAATTTAAAATAAAACAAATTATGACTAAGGAAGTAATCTCTGTTAGTAGATTTTCGTGCTGGTCTAATAAAAGACGATAACTATATTGAAAAGTTTAATTTAATTTTAATAACATTACAGTAAACTTTCATTTAATAGTCAAATTTTAAGCAATTTTTTCTTAAATTTCAATAAATGGCATAAGGCTCTCGCAGCTGCAGATTTTAATCTTTTAAAAACGAAGATTATATTCCTTTTATGAAGATTATATTCCTTGTATGAAGATTATTAAAGATTATAATCTTTTTTTATTGTTAATTTTTATTTTGAACCGCACTTGTATCAATCAAGATCCTCAAAAATATCAAAAATTACAGATTATTAAAGAACATAATCTTTGTATTTGATTACTTTAAAGATTAAAATTTGCTGTAGCCTTGAATTGGCTAAACTCTTTTTTAGAGAGCTTTCTTGAACACACATATAAAATAATAGTGGAACTAATATTTTAATGTGCCAAAAGTTCGTTCTTAAATTACATTTGAACCAGTTTTATTTCATCAATCTAACTTTTAATCTTGCTGTACGTTCTTAGTTCTTTAAAGTATATTTTTGAAAATTTACTCGATAAATGCATTTAATAACAAGCAGTAATACTTAGAAAAGGAGAGAAAATGATGAAATTCAAATACGAAGGAAGCATTACTATATATTTCAAAATATGTCACATTACTTACTAGGCGGCACTTCCTGAATGTTCAAACATATTTTACATATATGTAGATGGAAACTTTATTTACTAGTTTATAAGTTTCATTTGATAATTTTTTGCATTTTTCATCTTCCTTCCTCTTTTAAACTATAACAAAAACATTCAGTGGATGACAAAAGTGGGAAGCCATAAATAAAACTTCAGAGCGGAAAAGTGTGTTGATGTTTTTTGGTTTTCAGAAGCGTCTGTCTGAATGTCCGCAAGTTTATTGTTTTATTCCTCAGAGGATATTTAGTAATAAGGAAATATCAATCGATAACATTTTTTTTTCTAGAACCTTCCTGATTTATTTTCATTTACAATACATAGCTTTCAAAAAGTTTGAATGAATAAGAGGAAGCTTTATTCAGATTATTATAAATTCTCGCATCAATAACCATTCATTCTGCGAACAGATATTGCATGAATAATAATTAATGACTAAAAAATAATTGCATGTGCTTGAGTAAATTTCAATTCAATACTATGTATGAGATGAAATATTATTTGAATGAGAGCATATTGTAAATCAACATGAATTGGTACGAGTCGAAAGAATATCAGGCCTTAGAGGAGAGAAATAAGACATCCATAATTTTGAATTAAAGTTTCATTTTTCTTCTCCTTTTGGCTTCTCCGTTTTTCCTATCCTTACTCATATTTATGAAAATTTATTAGAGCAAAAATATGCTTTCATGGAGCATTTTTAATATAATTATGGTATTTATGAACGGTTTTAATATCGCATATATGTTGCGACACGAGACATATTCATTTTGTATTGTTTTTCTTCTTCTCCCTATTTCCATTCTGTTAAATGTATATTGTTCGCATAATAATATTAGATTTAATGCTACATATTGTATGCTTTCATTCGAAACAAGAAGAAAAAGCACGATATTGTATAAATTTTCTATAGCAAATATTACACACATAATATGTATTATAGAAAACCACTTCATTTGGCAACCAACTGTGTCATATTTGAATAATATGTGTTTGCAATCGCACAGCTGTTATATGAAGAAGGAAATCTATTTTCCTAGCTTGGCATTGAAAATAATTCCAAAGGAGCTGAGATGGCATATTCCATATTTATTCCATACGTTTTAAAAAATTCATAGTTTCAAATTCTACATTTTTTACTTGATCCCATTACATACCTAAAATCCGACATGAACAAAGAATCTTTTAAATGTCTTCCCTTTTTTCAACTGAAAAAAATATTTATTAAAACTGCTTAGTGACCAATAATTTAATTTAATGCTTTAGTCTCTTCTAGAGAATGCTTTAGAACATTTTATATCTGTAATAAATTACTTAGAAAATCTCAACTAGTTTTTTTCTGTAAAGCATAATCAAGGTTAAATTAAAAATTTCTAATCGACACAGCTTTATATGTCCCTTAAGAACAGGAAGTGATAATTTTTTTAAAAAAATGTTATAAATTTTAAGCTGCATCCAAAAATGATTAATTTGATTTTTTTATCGTTTGTCCATTTTACACTCTAGAAATGATACTTATTAATTTCAAATGATATCATATTGAAGTCTTAAAATAAAAGTTGGGATTTTTCTGACGAATATCAAAATACAAAGTGAAATGTTTAAAATGACATGACAAGATTGTAACTGCCTGATCAGACATGAAAAAGTCACGTTTTAATCAATGTACAAATTGGCATTTTTAAAGATAAAATAACGACTGAATTACTTTTTCAATGGTAATTGATGACCGTAATTATCAATATAATCAAAACTTGCGAAAAACAAAAATATTCTTTTTTGTATTTTACATTATCCATACAGTTTTATTTTGTAACATTTATCAAATTAAGAAAATATGATTGATAATAGTTTTGTGGTGTTTCGATTAGAAATAGCAACAAAAATTGATTAATCATGACAATTAATTGTAAAAATTCAAATCAATAAAATAATTAACCTAATTGAATAAAATTAAATTCCTGAAATAGCACCAATCCAAAGACGATAGTGTGATACTCTTGCATATACATCCCACCATCCTGTACCACATGGATGGTTCCAACTAGCAATTCCAATTAATTGTCCATTTGAAACAAGAGGACCTCCCAAATCGGATGTGCAAAAACCTTCACCACCTCCATTATTTGTGCAAAAATTCATGTCAAAATCGACGATACAGAAATCTTCATCGTTAGGTGCTGTAATGAGGGACAATATTTGTAGTCGATCAGAATTCGCTCCTCCATCGATATTGGTAGCACCAAATCCTGAGAGCTAAGAATATCCGAAAAATTAGAAGTAAAGTTTTTTTCAATTTAATAGGTCTACATACAACTGCAGGAACTTCAGCTCGAAGAACTGTTGAACTCAAAGTAACTGGCCAAATATTTTGATTTAATGGAAATGCAGCGGTTTGAACAAGTGCTATGCTATTTCATATTGAAAATAAATAAACGTTAAGCAATGAAAATTAAACGAATGACTTAAATATTTACTTATTATCAATATATCTAGGATCAAAAAGATGATGAGTAATAATGTTTGTGCTACGTCTTGCTACACCATTTGCTGATAATGAAACCGATCCAGCAACAGCATTTATAGAATTTCTTGCTCGTCCAAATACACATGCAGCTAATTAATATTGTTGAACATTTTATAATTAGATTTTTAAAGATTATGTTGTAAAATCTTTACCTGCTGTTAAAACCCAACGATTTCCAATTAAAGCTCCACCACAAAAATGAAATGTTGATCCAAATGCACGAAGTGAAACTTGATATGGAGCCTCCCCAAGTCCTGCATTACGACCTCCAACTACCCTTGCAGTTCGTTCATCTTTAATTTATATGAAAGTTGATAGGACAAAAAAAATCAATAAAAGTATTAATTTTTAATTACTTTGTGCTGCAGTAAATGACAATCCAAGAGCGACCAAAAAAATAAATCTAAACATTTTTTAAAAAAGTTGAATACTGAAAATAGTATCGCAAATTGCCTTTTATTTTATACGAAATATACCAAACATTCTTATCAGCATACAAGATAAATTCTACGTAACTCTGCTGTAATTAATGTCGATTTTAAAACAATAATTTTGGAACATATGTCAAATTTGTTCTGATTTCATAAACATAATTTGACAAATGACATCTGTGCGAATGTTGTGTTTAGTTACTATTACATTTTGCGAAGTAATATTAGTATTGGGAAATCAATTGCTTTTATAAGTTATATGAATAACTTTTTTGAATAAAGAGATGACTTAGAAAAGGATGATATCGGGAAACTTTTAAGATCCTCAAATGAAATATTCACAAAAAATAATTTTGAATGTTGAGAGACTTTTATCATTCATCATCAATGTAAATATATCATCAATGAAGTGCTTCAAGGAAATCCTTTTTACGAACTGAAACTAAAATATACGCGCTACGTTAACTCGACTGTGGTAATATCTCATGTCAAAATGATTCATCACATTTTAATTCAAAACTCATCAGGTTTTTTCAAACATATCAAAGAATCATATTGACATTATATGAATATCATTCGATGCACATACATATATTCAGTTTTCATTCAATATGACTTTTCTATTCAATCATTTATTTCTGAATTGAACTGACACTTTGGTTTTCTTTCCTTATTTCCTTTATGCTGGTTAAACAGATGTTAAGAGATTGAATTGAAAAAAAAATGATTAAAATGTTAAGCTTCATGCGATAATAGCAAATCGGATATTCTTACTTTCTTTAGGATGCAATATCAATATTTAATACAATTGTCATTTTTTTTTTATTCATTGTATTATTATTTGAGTTGAAGAACATACAACGCAATAAAACTTGATTATTCGGTAAGTTTTACATTTTGTAAACAAGAATTTTAAAAACATTTTCTAAACATGTCCTTCGTAATCAGTTAACAATCTAACGTTAGATTAATTTTGTATACTTGAACCGGATAGATACATGGCTCTATATTGCTGTTCTCGACTACTTTGTGCTACTCGGGAAGTCCATGCTATAAAGTGAGTAAAACAGGAATTACGAACCGAAATGATCTATAAAGGTTTTTAAACTACAATTATATTTTTTCTTCAAATTTAAAACATTTCAAGTTATAGTTTATGTAAAACAACTTTATTCGTGAAAAACTCAGTTAAAAAATATAACACCTGCTCACCTAAAAAGATTGTCACGTTTTCCAAAACCAAAATATTTTGCTTCCTTATCTAATACTTTAGATTGTATTATTAACATTGCTAGACAATAATAAGTTTTACTTTTTATAAACTAAGGAACACAACGTAACTTAAAAAGTATTGTCGTGGATTAAAAAGAATCACGTTTTAAATTCATATAATAAAGCAAAGTAGTTAATAATTTTCAAAAAAAAAGACCTGACCGAGTTTCTTTATCAGTAAATGAATGATGCAAAAATGACATCGAAATGGGAATGATTACTTTATACGTAATATGATGTACCGAAAATTTAAAGTTCATATTACAATTCATATCAATGTATAAAGTAATCTTCTTATTAAATAACGACATTTATGATGAAAGACTCTTACTCATCTTTACAGTGAGGAATGCTAATGTAAACATTTCAAAAATCGTCAATTTTGAATGAGACAAGTTCTCTTAATAGTAGTCCAAAACATCAAGCGTTAAGCACTGACAAATTTTTATCGAAAGAATGACCAAACTATCACTAGTCACTGCTAATTTCTTTTTTTTTTATAATTGCATGCAAATGTCTATTGACCATTTTATTAGTAACACATAGGTTTCGTTCATTCTTTTTAAGTTAATTTTTATGCAATTCAGAAAAGATGAGAACAACACAATTGTTCAAAATTAAGCAAATGTGCAGAAAAAAATTTCTGACTCTTCTTTAAACGAGTTCAATTTTGATATGTCAAATTATTGCATATTATCAAATTTATTTTCAATTGACCTACAAATAAAAGTGAATTTCCAAAAAAAAACACAATAAATTACATTGGGAATTGTTCACAAATGATGAAAACTTGAGACACAGAGGTCTAAAAATCTCAATTTTGATTAATGTTATCCACAAATGACCTCTTGTTGTATGCGATTAATTACCTGTTTATTTTCTTTAAACACGAAATTTATTCAGAACCGTCTAGAAGTCTTGAAAAAAATAACGGGATTTAAATTGATAATCAAATATTTTTTTGAATTTTTTGCAAACTCTGATTTTATTTTTATATACGTACGTAAGTATGTATAGATTCTTTAATTTCTTAATATCAAGGAGAAACACGTTTTTTTTCTCTCAAAAAAAATATTTTGAAATATAAAAAAATACAAATTTTAGATTTTTTAAAAATATATATTATTGAATAAGTGTAAGTCTTATGTTTTGAGTAAAAAAAAAGTTGATAAATTTACAGTCTTTGAAGTTTTAACCACATACCACCTAATGGAGTCTGAAGAGAAGCTGTTGGAGATAATTTTATTGGAATCGATGTTTTTTCTGATGGAAGTATTCTGAAAACGCTGAGAAGTTTCACTAATCCGACTTTCGATTCCATCGTCCCAAATCTGTAAAAAAATCAATCTCGCTTTTATTTCTTGAACTTGAAAAAATTTGTTTTGGTTTTTTTTTCCACTTACCGATAACCTATACACATTCGACCACCTTCACTGAACGGAATATAAACAAATGAAGGACGTTTTTTTATATTCTCTTCTGTAAATCGTTCCGGGTCAAATTTTTTTGGATTCTCGAAAAAACGCTCATCATTATGGAGTCCATCGACGGGAATAATTATGTTTGTTCCAGCAGGGATAACAAGCTTTGAGTTTGGAATTTTAAAATCATGTGTAGATTTTCTGTTCTGATTGTCGAGTGCTGGATATTTTCGCAATGTTTCCTTAAAAACCATGTCTAGATATTTCATTTCCTTAAGTGCATCATAAGTTACTTCTCCATTATATTTCTCTAGAACTTCTTGAATTTCACTTCTTAAACGATCTTGAATGTCTTGATTTAAAGCAAGCTCGTATGTACTGAATGTCATGACACTCGAACTTGTCTCAAAACTAATTGATAAAAAAATATTGTATTTTACAGTTATTATCACACACATTCACGAAATATTCTTATTTTTTTCTTCTTGTAAATAAAGTAAGAACTTACCCAGCAGCGAAAAATACAAAACTGTTTGCGGCAATTTCATTGAAGGTCATTCCAATTTCACTGTTTTTAATGTTAATCAGCAATTGAAAGAAATCGTTGCGCTTTACATTATTTTTTTCTCGATATTCAAGATTTTCTCGGACAATTCGTAAGAAAAAGTCGGTCGTCTCTTGACGATTGAATGCCAAATTGAACATGTTGGAGATTTTCTCTGAAGATATTATGATTAGATTCTTTATATTTTCCAATGCGGTTGGTTCAAAAATTGATCTTGCCATCCTTCTGAAATCATTATTTGGATTACCGTGACATTTTGTGTCCAGTCCAAATGCGACACTTGCAATAACTTCTGTTGTAAATGATGAATAAATTTCCTTCATTTCATGCGTATCTGTCTTTTCGATAATAACCTTTAAGTATTCAATCATATCATCAGCTAGAGTTGATACAAGTGGGAACATCATTTTCATTCTACCACTTGTAAAGGTTGGACTTAATTTCGCTCGCAAATCTTTCCACTCTTGACCACTTTTAAAGAATAAATTTCCATTTAATGGATCAACCTTTTCGTTTATTTTAATGCCATGACTATGAAAATTGTCAAAACTTTTCACTAATATTTCTTTAATTAACTCAGGATCAGTCAAAACAAGTGTAGGTCTTAACATGTGATAGATTCCAAATGCTGGAGTTTTATGCTTAAAATTGTTATATTCACGTGTCAGAAACTCACTCATATGCTCGGTTTGTCCAACGGATTTTGTACTTCCTAGTGGAAAACTTCCTGGCACATACTCAAATCCTAGTTTTTCCCAATATTTGAAAATATTTTTAATCCATATATATAATAAGAACAAAATAACGGCGAGGTAAAGCAACATTATTTTATTTTTTCGTGATGTTTATTCGTTGATAGCTCTCGCGAAACTGAAACTGAAATTTCTTTAGCGCTGATATATAATAATGAATTCTACATATACATGTGAATAAGATTTTTGGAACCAGATAAAGGCAGAAAAGTATAGAAGAATTTTTATCTACAAGACTAAACCAGATTTTTATGATGTTCTCGTTTTCTTTTTTATTTTCATCAAAGTTCTTTTCATCATTGAAATTCCAGGTATGAATCTCTGCATCCAATCGCTATAAATAATGACTATTGATAACGTACGAGAAACAATGTGCTTCCAATCTATTTTAATGCAGCATAATAATTCATTCATAATTTCTTTTCCTCTCATTTCATTCACATTTTTCTTCTTCTTATTCTACACATGCTTACAATTAGTTATGTCGATGATAATAATAATTCAAGTGCATGAGCAACAGAAAGTAGTCTCTTAATAGTATATACCCCTGTTTTACATCTTTACAACAGAATATACGAAGCATTTGTTTATGTAAGTAAGTGTTCTTGTCTTATGAAAGAGAAAGCAGTTCTACTACATATACAAGCTATAATAAAATATAAATAAATTCACCTTATCTTTTCAAGCATTAACGAAATATTAATAGTTATTAAATTTCATTAACAACTTTTGAACTAGTAAGTTTAGGATCGATCGTAAAAATGACTCAATTGTGTAAACGTACTGCATGCATTTCATTATCAATAACATTGACATTGAAAATCACTCAGGAGTATTAAAAAATGATCTTGAAATTTTACCATGCATATTGCATAAAAGGCAACATTACAAATTGAGCGCTTACATCATCAGTAAAAGAAATTTATCGCATTCTTTCTTACACTTCTTGAAATTTTGGAATTCACAAAACAAATCGTAAAGGCCAATGCACTTACTTTTTTTTGGTATTTTTGTTTTCTATGTAAAGATACACATCGAACTCTTTAAAAAAGAAGGAAATGAAAAGAATTTGAGATGCTGGAAGTTACGTAACAATCTGATATATGCGCTAAAAATAACTGATTCTGTAGAATCTTGTAGATTTTTTTGGTTCTTCCAAAGTTCTTTCAGATGAAAATCACGCAAATTCTACAGTTATTCGCTATATTGTTTTTTGCCATTGCCAAAATCTTGACAATCTTCGTTATGTTCGTATTTTGTTTTTAAACGAATTTGTTCAGGGGTCGCATAACTGTATGTTCAAAAAGAATAAAAAAAATTAAATAAGACAAAAATCATCAAAAAACAAAGTTTTAACTTGAACTTGAAGCATGCTGAGGGGCCGTTCACTTATGATGTCCAGGGGGGGGGGGGGGGGCAGCAAGAAAAGAACAATAGAAATTCCTGGAAATCCATTGTTCTTTTTAAAAAATGACCGTTATATTCGGACGTAATAAATGAACGACCCGTAACATGTGAGATACATATTTAGTGACATTGACCTTTTAAATATGACGGAATGGAATTTCTTTATTCTTCTACTCAATTTTACATTTCAATCAATTTTGATAGTATTTTAATATTCTTTTCGATTGAACTATACGACGCAGACGAATTTTTAACAAAATTAATCTCATGTGAATTCCTGAAAAGATTGCGTCGTGTAAATTTAATTTTTAAATGATAATTCGTTAATGTCCTTTAGAATGATAATGCTGCAAAAAAATTGCGATTTCAAATTTAAAAAAATTTATTTTTATTCGCTTGTTAGCATTTTTAATAGGAGAAAAAGCAGTTCAACCTGAAAAATATTTCTAAGACTAAGACTTCGCCAAGCTAAGCACACATGTATCAATAAATCATTTCTTCATATCAAAAGATGTACAGAAAAATATTCTCAATCGTTGCTGAAGAATGTGTTATGTAAGCTGTTATCTATATTTATTATCATTATACGAAGCACATTAAGTAACATCATACATATTTATCTGAGTCGAGTTTTGCATTTAATTACTTGCACTATCAATAGCATTGCATTACTTAATAGAACAAAATATAGAAATGGAAAAGAATTCTAAAGTTTTATGTATCTCTTTTCAGCTATGAAAGATCATTAATTAAAAATAAATGAGCATTCAATAAAGGGAGGCATTCCCATGTATAGATTGGCATTAATGTTTAATATCTTTAAAAATTTGATTCGATAAAGTTATGAGTTCATTTAGAATATGAGGAAAGTTGACCCCAAGTTGACCACGGCACACTATAACTTAAGATATTTTTTTATGGCACACCTAAGAATAGGCCTATGGCACACAGTTTGGACAACACTGCTTTACATAGTAAAAATTCTCTGATCATAAATTAATTGAGAAATTTTCTAATGATTGGCTTATCAAGAAAGACAGAAAGAAACAAAACAGGAATTTCAAGATTTTTATTAAGGTATTCTCCAACAAAGTATAAACATTAATAATCTGCTTGTCAATGATTTACGATATCATGATTAAGAAATGCTTCAAACGTCAATAAATAAAAATTCACTGCATCCCTAATATTGCATAAAAGCGAGTTTTATTTATTGCTTTTAAATTTATTTGTATTTACAGCACTCCATGTAATTAAATTCTTTGCTCTCACGTTTATAAATCAGTTAATATTATGTAAACGTTTGGTATGTTCTAGCCAAACATCACTTAAAAGGTAATAAAAATGAAAGGAATCCTTTTAAGGTATGTAAACAAACACACGTGGTTTCTCTTATTGTGCATGAAAAGTAATTTTAAGGGTTAATTCTGTTATTTCTTTTATTATATTTTGATACGAAAATGTTTAGAATTTATTGATGAAAAGAACTGATTGTAAATTTCTAATTTTTATTTAACAAACATAATTTGTGATCATTACTCGAGCTTCCTCGAGTTCTCAACAACAATTGTTCAATACATACATACATACATCGCTGGCTTTACAGATCAATTGTGATCCATAGCCATATCTCTGTCAACAGCTTCCTTCCAGGAATTGTTCAATAATTTGATAAATTTCCCTATCAACTACTTTTTATGCTTCCTATTTTTTGCATTCATTCACTTTCTTCTTTCGTTCTGTGTTTTAACCACCTTTGATAATCTAATTAGTAAAATTATGAGTAAAAACCTCAGTAGTCGTCTAGCATTTAAACACTAAAGTTGAAAAAATAGAAAATTTGTAAAAGTGTAGCTAGACACAGTTAATAAAAAATTGCAGAGAATTTTTTAAGGATAACCTTTTGTGTTAATTCAAATGAACAGTTAAACAAGTTTGTTAAATTAATTCGATGTATAATAAAAGTTGAATTGAAAAAGTAATAATTTAATTAAATCGATAGTGAATCAATTAGCAATTTAGTTCATTCTTTAAATGGATTTACTGTATTAAATTTCCATCGCATCGTAAAAATTACTAGGTATTGGCATCAATCAATAAATGTGTCCAAAAACATTAGTTTTTAAAATTAAAATTGGTAAAATGATAAAATTATGAAAATAGAACTTTAACCAATTGACTATTTTTTATTTTGAAAATTTTACACTTTTTCGGATTTTATTGGTTATCTTAAAACTACTTTAAAACATCAAAAAAAAGTGTTTCTAAGGAAACTAATCATTTTTTCGATGTATCATAATACTATAATTATAATATTTAAAATTTGATCTACACAGTCTTGATAATGATAGCTTTGCTTTTGAAATATATTGACGAATTAAGTAGTTCTAAGTGTAGAAAGTAGAGCATTTTTGTTATTAACTTGATTTTTGGACCTATGTTTTGTTTAAATTTTGAATCATATTTTATGAACTGATTATTAAGTTTTTTCAAAGTCAATGTCAAAGCAAAAAAATGAATTAATAACTTAGTGATTATTATTCGTAAAAATGTATTTTCTTTTAAAACAGAGCTCAGGTAATCAGAGTTAAAAGAAGAAAGAGATAAGCTCATTATAAAAAGTCATAGTAAATCATTTGTAATAAATTTTTCTTTAAAAACATGACTAAAAGAAAGCATTTAAAAAAAGTGTTTAGTAATTAGTCGATTTTCATTAACAGACCTTAAATAAATATTGTCTTAAAATAAAAATGCACATTTTGCCTGTAACAAGAATGTATAGAAGATCCAACGGCTTGTGTAATTTTCACAACCAGACAAAACAAATCAGGGACCATTTGAAATTCATTAAACTGCAAGAAATTAAAAATTCAATCTTAATTAATTTTATTTAATTCCTTAAATGTTTTTTTAATATGCTGCTTACAAATGACTGAAAAACTCTTGTCACATTGCTTTTAATAAGACTACACAAATTCTAAAATACGAGGATGATACAAATATTCCGTTTGAGATTCTTCACGAGTTAAAAATTACCATTTTTTTAAAAAAAAATGATTTAAAAATAACTTGTGCAAAACTAATTTTTTAAAGTTGCAACCCGCGATAAAAATTCATTTTTAATGAATACGATAAATATTTGTTAGCATGCGCCACAAAAAGCATCTAAAATGCAATTCCAATGAATTCAGCACTTAATTGAATATTTCAAATATTAATCGGATTTTGATTTCCAAGAATTATAAATTAGGCAATTTGTTATATTTTATTTCAAACACGTGGAGGTGCAATAAATGTGATACAAATAATTTCCTTATAAATTTTATATGTGGAACTCAAATATTAATCAAATGGTGATAAACGAAAATAAATTTTATCACAATTGGGGATTATCACATTATTGAATTATCGATGAAGTTTAAAATTTCATGGCACATACATTTATGAATATTTTTTGTTGTTTTTTTTTCAATTTTAAGAATACAATGGAATCTGAAGCAATTATAGTGAGTTTTATTCTAAATTTGTGAATCAACTTTTTTTAATTTTAATTTTTCTTCATAAAAGCTGGACGGATCTGTGAATAATTACATCATTCCATCTTTAAAGCTGGATGATGGATGGTTCATCTTCTCAACTATTTCAAAATTTCTTTCATCAATAACTCCAAATGATATGCCACTTAGTAAGTTTCACTGCAATTTCAAATTAATTTACAAATTAAAATATGAAAGAAACGAATGCATTCATAAAAAAAGTTAACATTTTTCATTGTTATTTCGTTGTAAACCAGATTTAACAGTGAATCTGTTGCATAGGTTAGACAGAATAATTCTGTTCAACAGTTGCGCAACAATTCTGCAGAATTATTCTGATAAATTCTGAAGATTAATTTTGATTAGGGTTTTCAATCCCGGTCCAAATTTTCAATACCGAGATTACGGGATTGAAAATTCTCGATCCCGGGATCCCGGGGAATCCCGGGATTAAGAGATTATTAAAGAAGCCTTAAAATTTTCAATAAATAAAACGTAAAATCTTCGTTTGAGAGAAAAATTCTTATTTTATATTTGTTCTATGTATGTTTATTGTTAATGATTAAGCAAAAAAAAAAGAAAATTAAGTACTAATAATCTTAAAATAAGGTTTTCATTTTGGAAAGTACACTATGGGGCAAAATTGAAAAAAAAGGGACTTTCACTTTGATTTTGGGACTTTTTCGAATTACAAACTCAGGTATATTTTTTCTTGTATAGGACATAAAAATAGACTTCTATGCCAAATTTCAAGTCATTTGGTGCTGTTCCTGCGATTTTGTGACTGTTTAAAGTTGAAAATGAGTGAAAATTCTGATTTTTTCATGCCCTCTTTAAATCTAAAGTTCCTTATGATTATTAAAGATATTGAAAAACGGTTTTCAGTTCCTAATAGTAATATGTAAGAGCTTCATTTTGATATTCCACAAAGATTTTAACTTTGTAGTTTTGGTACCGCTATGGTAGGATATGTAAGAAAAACAGTGGAAAAATATCTTCACACGTTCCGCAAGTATCTTAGATCGCAGAATAGTAGGGGGTAGAATCACACCAATATGTAGCCCTTGACTTGTAGTTTTCAGAACTGTATAAACTTTGTCCAATATAGTTCTGCATTAAAAAGTTATAGCGATTTTAGTGAGTCGATGAATATTTAACCAAAAACTAAAATTGCTTATAAAAAATATAAATCAATGAATACAAATAAGTTTTTTCCAGAGGTCGAAGCGAACTTGGTTCGCCAAGTTCGCTTCGCTAAAAATTCAACTTGCCAAAGTCGAACTGTAGCGAGAAAATTTTTTTTCTATTCGCCTTAGCGAACCATAGCGAACTCAATTTTATTTTTTTCGCTTTAGCGAACTATTAGCGAACTTAATTTTTCAAAGTTCGCTATAGCGAACTATTGGCGAACTATAATTTTTTGCAATTTTGTATGAAATTATATACTTCACAAACGCAATCAGACATCTCTTAATATGAAGCCCAAAAATTTTTCTAGTTCGCCAATAGTTCGCTATAGCGAACTTTGAAAAATTAAGTTCGCTAATAGTTCGCTAAAGCGAAAAAAATAAAATTGAGTTCGCTATAGTTCGCTAAGGCGAAAAGAAAAAAAAAATTCTCGCTACAGGTCAACTTTAGCAAGTTGAATTTTTAGCGAAGCGAGCTCGCTAAAAACTCGCTTCGCTATGCTCGCTTCGACCTCTGGTTTTTTCATGTTTTCTAATCAAAAATACTGTTACAAAACAAATGGTGAAGAAATTTTTTCAAAAAGTTCAAAATTTGATGAGATATTGGGTACATTTGATATCTGACGACTTGTATGCTTTTCTCATCACTCAAACCACTATTTTTTAATTTTGTTTCCAGTTTATTATCAGACTTAAGTCAGAACCTTTCTAATGATGTATAATACTTGATGGTTGACTTTGATCTTGGTCATGAATATGAATATGATCCCGTAATACCGGGATTGAAGCTGTTTTCAATACCGGGATTACGGGACCAAAAAAAACGCGGGATCACGGGATCCCGGGATTGAAAACCCTAATTTTGATGAATGTTGCGTGACATGGATGTAACAAAAAAAAAATTCAGCCAAAATAATTCTGAAGAACTTACTTTTATTCTGCAGAATTATTCTGTTGAAATTTTTTTCAGAATTTCACAAAACAAATCAGAAACATTTTTCTTCCAAATTCTCCATAAATAAAAATTTTGATGAATAACTTTATAAGAATGTGATTAAAGGCGTTGTTTTTCCACGATTACAAATTAACTTAGAAATCAAAATAGGAGTACAACTGTTGTTTATATTACAATTCAACTGACGACGTGCAAGACTAACGTCTTGTGCACTCGAATTGCAAATATCCACACCATATACACTTGTAGCTTTGAATTCATAGTTTTACAGAAATCTATTAATTTGAAGTGCTGTTTGTAGTTTTTGCAACAGATTTTCGTAGTATCAGTGTGCAGAGTCATTTTTTTGTTAAGGGCTTAAACCAGAGGATCAAAAGGAAAATATTTGCCAAAGTCAAAAGCAATTCCTTATCAATTCTTTTTAAAACTTAGTGAAACACAGAAAAATGTTGTACTCCTATTTTAATTTCCAAATTAATTTGTAATTGTGGAAAAACAACGTCTTTAATCACATTCTCATAAAGTTATTCATCAAAATTTTTATTTATGGAGAATTTGTAAGAAAAAATGTTTCTGTTTTGTTTTGTGAAATTCTGAAAAAAATTTCAAAAGAATAATTCTGCAGAATAAAAGTAAGTTCTTCAGAACTATTTTGATTGATTTTTTTTTTTTTTTGTTACATCCATGTCACGCAACATTCATGTGAATTAATCTTCAGAATTATTCTGTTGTCATCAGAATTATTCTGCATTATTTATCAGAATAATTCTGCAGAATTGTTGCGCAACTGACGATTTAACAGACGACGTTGAAAGTTAAATAGCAAAATTTTATTCCTTTTTTGAATATGTGACCATTTTTTTGCTCGAAATTTTTTTAACAATTTTGTTGTTGGCAAAAGTTTTTACAATGGTCATTGTTAAAATTTAACAATTTCATGGTCACCGCTATTTTAATGATGACATTGTTAAAATTTTCATACAAAGTTACAATGCATTGTTAACTCTTTTTCTTATGAGTGTGAGGAGTAACAATATTGTTTTAAATTTTATCAGTTTACTGCATTCTCGAGCTCCTTCGGGATGCATTTCAATCGAAAGTTTCCATCTTACGGATAATTCTTGAGGTAAGAAATAAAACTTATGCTAATGAATGAATATCGGGTGGTAAACTTACTTTTAGATCACTTTATTCTATGTTGAAGTTTGGTTGAATTCAAAAGAATTTCATGATTTACAACCAGAAGGTTTTTGTTTGAAACTTTTGAAATCACTTAAAGTGTCCAAATGTTTTATTTCAAACCGATTAAAATTACTCTCCTTTGCTGAATTTTAACAAGGCACTCAAAATGGAATCAGGATACATCTGCTTGATTTTGATAATCTTCTTGATTTCCATCATTCCACTTGGATATACAATCTCTTGGTTTTGCTCGAAAAACATTCACATTAAGGCAAATAGCATTAGCGATATTATGCATACAAATTCTCAAGTCATACTGCCAGACGATATAATTTTTCATGACGAATGCAGAGATAAATTAGATAAACTTAACTGCCGTAAAAAAGTTTATGTATTCATTCTCCAATTTTTGGTTACAATCTGTGTGTAAGTAGTTTATTCTTCTTTATTTTTAATTTATTATATTCACACCGTTTTCACGTGTGAATCTATTGGTTTTGTTCGGGTTACCGACAATTCCCCACTGTAATTTCGCCACTTTACATTTGGCCACTGACATTTCACCACCACTACATTTTGCCACCTGTACATTTTGCCACTATTTATTTGCCCACTATTTATTTGCCCACTATTTATTTGCCCACCTGTTTTTTTCGCCACAGCTTTTTTCGCCACCTTTTATTTGGTCACTATTTATTTGCCCACCTGTTTTTTTCGCCACTGCTTTTTTTGCCACTAATCATATGGCCACAAGTTTATTTGCCCACTGATTTATTTGCCCACTAAAGCAAATGATAAAATAAAAAATTGTAAAAAATATTGAAAAAATTTTGTTAAAAAAACATGAAATTTTTAAAATTATTTTTTGGAGCATTTATGGAATAATTGGCCATAGTTGGCCATATTTGGGTGTTCTGAAAAAATCATGCGACCGTACGTAAATGTGCTTGAAGGTGTAACGATATATTGAGATTTGAATAATCTCTCTTCTCTGGCTTGGACTTATCATCACTTATCCACTCTTGCTTCCTTCATTTATTTTATTCTATTTTTCCTTACTAGTTTTTATTAATTTTAATGTTTAAAAAGCTTTAAAGGTTTAATTAACTCTCAATTTACTATTTCATCATTCTATGAGATAATTTGAATAGAAATTAAACGTGACGTAAGGATGCTGGGTTATAAGTCCAGAGATTATAAGTCCAGGTACAAAAATCGTGCACAGAAAATTATAAGTCCAGAAAATCAAAGTCAATAAAGGTTTATAAGTCCAGATACAAATTGCACCTGGACTTAAAAACCTCACCTGCAGTTTATAATGCCAGAAAATTTAAAAATTTTACTTATAACCTCCCAGTGCGATTATAAATCCAGATACATTTTTCTGGACTTATAATCCTTGAAAATTATTTGATATTATTTTAAATTTTTTCATTTAAAGTAATTCTTCACATGAATTTTTGAAAACTTCACAAAAAGAATTCACATTTCTCTGATTTTTTTTCCTCTAAAGTACCATATAGGGTAAATTAAAATTTGCGTGTTTTGAGACTTGGAATTTTCAAACGCTTGTAACTAATCGACGAATTGACATTGTGACCTACTAATGGTCTTAAAATGTTAAGAGTCGTCGATATTTTTATTTTTGATCATGTAAAGGTTTTTGCGCTGCACTATGGGGCAAAATTGAAAAAAAGGGGTAATTCACTTCGAAAATAGGACTCTTTCAATTTAGGTTCTCGGGGTATTTTTTTCTTGTAGAGGACATTAAATTAGACTTGCATGCCAAATTTCAGACCATTTTGTGCTGTTTTTGAGATTCTAGAGCTATTTGAAGTTGAAAATGAGCAAAAAAACTGGTTTTTTCATGACATATTTAAACTTAAAAATCTCTGCAATGTTTAAAGTTATTGAAAAATTGTTTTCGGTTCCTATAAGAACAATATAAAAGCTTTATTTTAATGTATTGTAAAATTTTTAACTTTCCAGTTTTGGTGCTGGTATGGTTGGAAATGTACGAAAATCCTATGAAAAATATCTATAAACGTGCCGCAACTATCTTAGCAGGTCGATTTCCAGGTAACTGAATATACAGAAATATAGCTCTTGATATACAGTTTGTAAAACTGTATAAACATTAGAAATAACAAGGTACGTTTTTGAGAAAAATTGGTTTGTGTCAGTCGTGAAATATTAAGCCAAAAACTGATTTTTCTTTTAAAAATAACAAATCATTCATAGTAGAAAAGTTTTGTAATGTTTTCTAATTGCAAATAATATTTAAAGACAACCTGCAAAGATTTTTTTTCAAAAAACTCAAAATTTGACGAGATATCGGGTACATTTGATATCTGATGACTTGTATGTTTTTTGCACCACTCAAATGACTCTAACTTCAACTTTTGTTTAACTTAATATTTTTCAGTTCTGTTTCCTGTTTATTGTAGCTTAAGTCAATACCTTTCTAACAATATATAATACTTGATAGTTGCATATGACATTGATCTTGATTATTTGCATTGTTTGTGAATGACCCCAAACTAAGAAAAATCTTGAAAACGACATTTCTAGAAATACCACTTAGAAAGAAAATTGTGTATTGTTTTGAGGTTTTTTATGATGATTTATGATAATTATGACTGTTAAAACTCAAAAACATGGAATTCATAAACTTTTTGCGATCTCAGGTAGCTTGATTAAGTACGACTCTAGTAGTATCTATTGGACCAGAAAGTCTATAGTATCAGACTATTTTAAAAACTCAAATTAATGAATTCATCATATTTAAGCATATTTATAGCAAAATATTTCATTTTTAGATACTTTTGGTTGAAAAATTGTGAATTTTGGCTATTTTGTTTAAGTTCAGCTTGCGTCGGTCACATTCAATCCACTCTAGTTGCAACTATAATGAAGTTTTATACCAGTATTATACATTATCTTAAAGGTACTGATCTAAACTAGCAATAATTGAAAACAGAATGCAAAAATATGTATCCTGAAAAAATTTAGAGCTCTTTATGTACATCAAAAAGCATACAGAAACGCAACCACCATAGGTAAAAATACAAAAATTTAAAATTTATCAGTTTTTTTTGACAAACTTTGATTTTTTTGTAATAATAACCACATATAAGCACATTTTCAATACTTTTTTGTAAGATTTTCGTTGAAATTTTAAATTTTTGTATTTTTACCTATGATGGTTGCGTTTTTGTATGCTTTTTGATGTACATAAAGAGCTCTAAATTTTTTCAGGATACATATTTTTGCATTCTGTTTTCAATTATTGCTAGTTTAAATCAGTACCTTTAAGAAGATGTATAATACTGGTATAAAACTTCATTATAGTTGCACCTAGAGTGGATTGAATGTGACCGACGCAAGCTGAACTTAAACAAAATAGCCAAAATTCACAATTTTTCAACCAAAAGTATCTAAAAATGAAATATTTTGCTATAAATATGCTTAAATATGATGAATTCATTAATTTGAGTTTTTAAAATAGTCTGATACTATAGACTTTCTGGTCCAATAGATACTACTAGAGTCGTACTTAATCAAGCTACCTGAGATCGCAAAAAGTTTATGAATTCCATGTTTTTGAGTTTTAACAGTCATAATTATCATAAATCATCATAAAAAACCTCAAAACAATACACAATTTTCTTTCTAAGTGGTATTTCTAGAAATGTCGTTTTCAAGATTTTTCTTAGTTTGGGGTCATTCACAAACAATGCCAATAATCAAGATCAATGTCATATGCAACTATCAAGTATTATATATTGTTAGAAAGGTATTGACTTAAGCTACAATAAACAGGAAACAGAACTGAAAAATATTAAGTTAAACAAAAGTTAGAGTCATTTGAGTGGTGCAAAAAACATACAAGTCATCAGATATCAAATGTACCCGATATCTCGTCAAATTTTGAGTTTTTTGAAAAAAAATCTTTGCAGGTTGTCTTTAAATATTATTTGCAATTAGAAAACATTACAAAACTTTTCTACTATGAATGATTTGTTATTTTTAAAAGAAAAATCAGTTTTTGGCTTAATATTTCACGACTGACACAAACCAATTTTTCTCAAAAATTTACCTTGTTATTTCTAATGTTTATACAGTTTTACAAACTGTATATCAAGAGCTATATTTCTGTATATTCAGTTACCTGGAAATCGACCTGCTAAGATAGTTGCGGCACGTTTATAGATATTTTTCATAGGATTTTCGTACATTTCCAACCATACCAGCACCAAAACTGGAAAGTTAAAAATTTTACAATACATTAAAATAAAGCTTTTATATTGTTCTTATAGGAACCGAAAACAATTTTTCAATAACTTTAAACATTGCAGAGATTTTTAAGTTTAAATATGTCATGAAAAAACCAGTTTTTTTGCTCATTTTCAACTTCAAATAGCTCTAGAATCTCAAAAACAGCACAAAATGGTCTGAAATTTGGCATGCAAGTCTAATTTAATGTCCTCTACAAGAAAAAAATACCCCGAGAACCTAAATTGAAAGAGTCCTATTTTCGAAGTGAATTACCCCTTTTTTTCAATTTTGCCCCATAGTGCGCTGCATCAATTCAGAGAAAATTGACATTTAAGTTTTCATTTTGAAATTTGCGCAAAAATATTTTGAAATTTGCGCACTTTTTTGATAGTAATCTTTACCTTATACTATTTAGCATCAAATTACAGCTGTACTAAAATTACAGCTGTAGATTACAGATGAACTTACGTCGTTACGTAAAAATCAATTTACAGCTGTAGTTTAATGTGTATAAGTAAAAACAGTAGTAAATATAGATGGTGTTTATAGCTTAGACAAGTGCTTAGCTGTCCTTACAGTTAATGTAATTTTTCGTAAATTCTGCTGGTTTTGACTATGATTTTACCTTTTACAAAAAGATTGAATAGAAAACAAGGTACAGTAGCGTGTAAAAATTTATAAAAATCACATTTTTCGCTCTGGATGTTAACATTTAAAATATAAATAATACAAGAATAAAAAGGGGAAACAAAATCCTCTTTGCTTTGTTTTCTCACAGAATGCAAAAAACTGATTTTTCAATCTGAACAAAACCAATTGATTCACACGTGAATACGGTATGAATATAAAAATTTGAAATTATATCAAATAATTTTCAAAGATTATAAGTCCAGAAAAATGTATCTGGATTTATAATCGCACTGGGAGATTATAAGTAAAATTTGTAAATTTTCTGGAATTATAAACCACACGTGAGGTTTATAAGTCCAGATATAAAATGTACCTGGACTTAAAAACCTCTCGTGCAGTTTATAATTCCAGCAGTATCTGTACCTGGAATTATAAACTGCAGGTGAGGTTTTTAAGTCCAGGTGCAATTTGTATCTGGACTTATAAACCTTTATTGACTTTGATTTTCTGGACTTATAATTTTCTGTGCACGATTTTTGTACCTGGACTTATAATCTCTGGACTTATAACCCAGCATCCTTACGTCACGTTTAATTTCTATTCAAATGATCTCATAGAATGATGAAATAGTAAATTGAGAGTTAATTAAACCTTTAAAGCTTTTTAAACATTAAAATTAATAAAAACTAGTAAGGAAAAATAGAATAAAATAAATGAAGGAAGCAAGAGTGGATAAGTGATGATAAGTCCAAGCCAGAGAAGAGAGATTATTCAAATCTCAATATATCAGAGATCGAAGCCGATTTTTTCGGCTTTACTCAATTTTTGATTTTTTTGATAGGAAAAAGCCATTTAACACCCATTTTAAGTATTTAAATTGAACTTTACATGCTTTACTACGATTCTGTGAAATATTTTTTCAGCATGTAGCTATAGTAAGCTCTGAATTTCAATTTAGCCGATTTTAAGCCGATCGGCTTAAATTTCGGCTTAACATTCTTTAACTTGAAATTCTGAGCTCACTATAGCTACATGCTGAAAAAATATTTCACAGAATCATATTAAAGCATGTAAAGTTCAATTTAAATACTTAAAATGGGTGTTAAATGGCTTTTTTCTATCAAAAAAATCAAAAATTGAGTTAAGCCGAAAAAATCGACTTCGATCTCTGCAATATATCGTTACACCTTCAAGCACATTTACGTACGGTCGCATGATTTTTTCAGAACACCCAAATATGGCCAATTATTCCATAAATGCTCCAAAAAATAATTTTAAAAATTTCATGTTTTTTTAACAAAATTTTTTCAATATTTTTTACAATTTTTTATTTTATCATTTGCTTTAGTGGGCAAATAAATCAGTGGGCAAATAAACTTGTGGCCATATGATTAGTGGCAAAAAAAGCAGTGGCGAAAAAAACAGGTGGGCAAATAAATAGTGACCAAATAAAAGGTGGCGAAAAAAGCAGTGGCGAAAAAAACAGGTGGGCAAATAAATAGTGGGCAAATAAATAGTCGCAAAATGTACAGGTGGCAAAATGTAGTGGTGGTGAAATGTCAGTGGCCAAATGTAAAGTGGCGAAATTACAGTGGGGAATTGTCCTACACTCGTTTTGTTCAGATTGAAAAATCAGTTTTTCGCATTTTGTGAGAAAACAAAGCAAAATTGGTTATAAAAGTTCACAGAAGAAAAGTTTGTTTCTGAAATTTTACATCATTTTCAAAAAACAGATTTCAAATTGGTTGCGGCATTGCTGAGAAAATTGCAAAATACGCTTTCTGTAAGCAAACAAGCAAGCAAGTTAATCATCAAGAAATCTCAATAACGAGACATCGTAGAGACTTCTAATTTTTTACATTTGATCCGTGCTGCTCTATAGAAGAGCTGTATTGTTTTTAGGCAAGGTAGGAACAGCCGTTGCTTCAGAAAAAGCAAAAAACTTTCCTTTCTTACGAATTTTTCAAATTAAAAGTTCACTTTGATTTTTTTTTATTTTAAATTAAACTTTGGATGAAAAAAATTTTTTTGAGCAAAGAACTAAGTAGGAAATACATTTTCAATTATGAACTTGGGACAGGTCTAGTCAAAATCTAGTTTTTCACTTTTTTTCTTCGAAGGTTTATCCAATTACAGTGAAAATTTGTGTGAGTATACTAATGTTTATACAAAACAGTTTTAATTATCTAAAGAAAGAAATGTATTCTAGATGTCGTCAGACCCAAATTTTATAAATTTGGTTGTACATTCAAAAACAACGTGACTTAAAATTTTGTCCACAAAAATGATTTTTATTAATTCAGAAATGTGTGACCTGAGGATTAGAATGCTCATACAAAGTTTTAATGTATTCGGATTTATCCTCGAAGAAAAAAGTGAAAAAATTGATTTTGACTAGGGTCGCCCCTAGTCCAAAATTGAAAATGTATTTTCTTCTTGGTTCTTTACTCAAAAAAATTTTAAGATGTTTTATTTGTATTTGTTTTAAGCACTAGAATATTTATGCAAAGTTTCAATCCATTTGGATAAACCCTCGAAGAAACAAGTGACAAAATTGATTTTATTAGGGTCGCCCTTAGTCTAAAATTGAAAATGTATTTCCTACTTGGTTCTTTGCTCAAAAAAATTTTAGAATGTTTTATTTGTTTTTGTTTTAAGCACTAGAATATTTATGCAAACTTTCAATTCATTTGGATAAACCCCCGAAGAAAAAAGTGACAAAATTGATTTTGACTAGGGTCGCCCTAGTCCAAAATTGAAAATGTATTTCCTACTTGGTTCTTTGCTCAAAAAAATTTTAAGATGTTTTATTTGTATTTGTTTTAAGCACTAGAATATTTATGCATAGTTTCAATCCATTTGTATAAACCCTCGAAGAAAAAAAGTGACAAAATTGATTTTGACTAGGGTCGCCCCCAGTCCAAAATTGAAAATTGACTTTCTATGGTGTACTTTTGTCAAAAAAATTTTTTGGATGTTTTATTTGAATTGACATAATTCTGACATAAATCACATACCAATATTACTTTTTGTAATGCATAGCTTAAAAAAAATCGAAAGCTAAAATTTCGACTACCCCATCTGAATTTTGTTCATACTCTTCACTGTGGAAACCAAAAAACAAATTCTTTATCTTAAAACACTTGACAAAACAGCGACATAATTCAGGACTAATTACTTTTTAATAATATTTTAACATTTACGAGAAAATGTGGTACAAATAAGTGACAAAATTCAAACTAAGTGTTTTTGTAGCTGACATAATTATGACATAAATTAGGTTTATCTTTTGAACTGTGTCGATATGGGTCTCGGCCGTACTTCACGCCCACCCTTCAAACTTATGCTGAGCAAATCTTGGTCTATCCATAAGACTTTTGATGGTACGGTGTGAATATATCCGCATTGGGTTTCTACCCGATACACTAGTTTTAAGTCAAGAAATTAACTTTTGGTTATTTATTTTATCCATGAAGATGCTCGATTCTTTCCATGTTTGTCATCAACGAGCAAATATCAATTTCAATCAACGATGCACCAAACGTTTTAAGATCTGCTTTAAAAGATATTGAATTCTTCGTTAAAAGCTCAAATCATCAATTGCAGTCCGAGACATTTGATCAGTTTGACAAAGCAAGAGAGAAGATAAAGATCGATTTGGAAGGTAATTTTGTTAAACTGATGTGTGCTTAGAATTGTTTAATGATTGGATTTCTTTTTATCCAAATTATTAGTTGTAAAGCTAGAAACAATAAGTGTATATGCCGACATAATAGGAGTCGTTGTCCCAGAATGTAATTTTAGACAATATTTTACATCATGTTATGTTTATATTGCAGACATTGATAAACTATTAGGAGAAAGAATCATAAGGGAAATTTCTTTTAAAACTGGTCTGGATATAACTTTTGAGTCTACTGGTTTGATTCTTGAGAGTAAGTTTAATTCCACTATTAATGATAAAGGTTCATTCATGCAGTATTTTGTCATTACTGTCAGGCACACGAAACTTATCAGGCCGAGTTCACCATTTGCTGAATGATGTTGTAGTGAAAACATTAATGTTTTCTGCTGATGCTGCATCAAAAGTAGATGACATAATCATTCAATTGTCTGTTTTACAACGACAATGTAGTTCTAGAGATCGTCCACTGTGTGATACATTAAAAGTAAAAAGTTTTGAGGAAGTTGGATTCATTGAGAAGTTGAAATTTGTAAGTCGTGTTAAGTTAAGGTCAACAATATCTCTGAATAACTTAAATATTTTCCATAGCTAAACTACAATTCAATATTGCAAAAGTTACGAAGTATGAATGAGAATTTATATGATAATAATTTGAAGGAACTAACAGATGAATTAGCAATCACTAAAAAAGTTTTCCGAAATTACTCATATCAACTAAAGCAAGACAGTGCAAGACAAAAGGAAGAAATTATGAAACAAATTTCAATTATGAGGAGTGGATTAAATGAAACTATTCAAAGATTATCGTCAGTTGTCAAGAATGTTCTTGACCGGATTGGGGCTGTTTGGCAGAAAGTTCTTCCAATTATGGACAATTTCAATGAAGCAGGATACATCAGCTGGTTGATTGGATTAATAACATGTACTTCCACACTTGTTGTTACACTGTTCCTCATTGTCCCACTGAGCTGCTCTTGCTGTCACGTAGATAATATAGCTGGTATCACATTTCAAATGTCTGCATGTATTTTATCAATTTTTTGTACTTTCCTTGGATTTTTTACAATTTTTGAAGTCCTTATAGGCGGACACGGTGAAGTATTTGTCTGTAGAGCTCTTTATGAAAAGCCTGAATATTTTGTTATTGGAAGACTTTTTGATAATCCTGGAATAATGTACGATCAAGCACCAACAAATGGAATTTTAACGAATCTTTTAGTTTCATCTGAACACAATTTAAAACAATTCTCAAATGTATCATTAAAAACAGCATTGACTGAGTGTGAAATGAATAAATCAGCATATAATGTATTTCAAATAGATAATTTATTAGATCTTAAAAACACTCTAAATTTTAAAAACTATCCGGATCTTGTGAGGTCAATAAACAATATAAAGGCACATGAATCACAATTCATATCACTAACCGAACGTATTCAATACTTTTTAAGTGAGTTATATCATGAATCAAACTTTAATTTTACATCCTTCCGATTGGACATTCAACAAATTTCGCCGGAAAAGGAAATGACAAATTTTATTGATCAAATGCAAAGAGTATCATTGCAAATTAATGATGCCTCGACTGCTAACAGAATGGCAACATTAGCATCAGTAGCAATAAGAATACAAAAGAATATGTTGATACCATTAGAAATTTTAAAAAATGATATAATATTTGAAGTAACTGCTTTAGAATTACAAATAAAGCCATGGATGGAAAAAATTAAAGAAATAGAAACAAGTTATAATCAGACACAAGTGTTCCTTAATCAAAATGCACAAGAGATATGTGCAAATTTCTCTGAGGGCTTCAGAAATCGTTTAAGGATGAATTTAGAAAGTTTTAAGAATGAAAACCTTGAGAAATTGAATACCGATTATGGATGCCAATCATTATTTGACGTTTTTGATGGAATCCGATTATTAACTTGTGGACACATAATTGAACCTATCAATGGTAACATTTTAATGGTTTAATAACAATTTTCATTGAATAAAAACATTTCTTACACTTAGGATTATTCTTTATATCATTTATACTTCTCATACTGTGGGTCATATCAACACCTGTTTCATTGCTGTTAGGTTTGTCCTTTAAAACATTTCAAGTACATATTTGGTAATGATTTCAATTTTTCCATAGCATCAACATATGCAAAAATTGAAAGTACTCAGCAAAAACTTTGTCGGACGAATTCACATCGAAGTTACAATGAAGGGTAAGCATGACAAAAATTAATGGAAATTTTTGATTCCCTTAACTGCTAATAATATTTTTGAACTTTCTAGACCAACAATCGATGAGATTGTGAATCGAAATCGTGAAGTAACATGGTCCTCTAGGTTAGAAAGTTAAATATTCTCTTCTAAAATATGAAGCATGGAATTAATTTAAATATTATTTTCAGACCTCAAACATCAATCGATTCAAATTGGTGATTTTCATTCCTTTTTTTTTATTTATCAATGCATTTTAGTTATTGTAATTTTGATATTTGTATCACATAATTCATGAATTATCATATTAACGTCGAAAATAAATTGGATTTTCCATCAAAACACATTCAATATGAACGAAGTTATTTCATGTCTTTTTCATAAATCTCAAAATTATTTTCGTATTATGAACACACTTTTTATTACTGATGCGAACTTGGCCTTAAAATCCGAGCCCTAATTTTTATCGCCCGACTTTTCTTATGCCTACGTTTATCAGCCGTAAAAAAAAATCCCAAGTTTCTAAACACTTGGCGTTCAATGGAGAGAGAGTATCAGAAGGGTTTCATGGAGAGGGGGGTTATAAAGTATTTGTAGGGTAAGTCATTTATAATTTATATTATTAAGAAGAAAATAAATAATTCATAAAATTCATTTTGGGGCCAAGTTCACATCAGTCTTTTTTTTTCATAAATATATTTGCATTTTTTTCCACCATTCGCAATTTTGTCACTTTCAAAATTTTCTCGGCAACAGAATCATGCATCATTGTCAGTAAAACAGCATGACGTTAACATTTTTGACATTCAACATTGTGTATTATTCTATATGTCTCTTTAGGTCGACTGGAGATGAGTTTGTTGTAATAGAATTTGACGATAGTGATTTTAGAGAAAGTCTTATTTAAAAAATAAAAGGCTCTGAGTTATAATATTTGTATAAAGATATGTAATAAGTATAACAATTTATTAATCAGACAAACGTAATGAAATTTATTAGGCACCATATTATTTCTTTAATAATGATTAAGTCTATTAAAAGTTGAAAGCTTCCTTCTATTAGATCTGTAAAAATTAGTAAAATTAGTCTAATTGATCCGAAAATACAAAGAGCATGCTCAGAAAAGTGAACATATAAGTGAGTCTACTCAAAAATTATACTCATGCAAGCTCATTCTACTGAGCATACTCAGGAGTTCATTACGAATGTACTCACTTTGTTTTTTTGCAAAAAATTTATAAGCTCACGTGAGTACATTCAACGAGTGTACTCATGAGAATATTAAGAACATACTTATGTGAATACACTCGTATGAGTGCACTTACTGAACATTCTCATAAGAATAAAAAGAACATACTCACTTCTGTGTGACATAATTTTTTTACGTTCTCATATGAGTGCACTTACTGAACATGCTTATGGGAATATTAAGAACATACTGACATTTTTCAAAAAAAGTCGACTTGCATAAAAATGTATTCTTTGTTCGATTTTAAGCTGGTCGACATTTTTGAAAATGTCGACTTACATAAAAATGTGTTTTAAGTTTAATTTTAAGTTGGTCGACATTTTTCATAATATGTTCTCATGATCGTGCTCTGATCAACTCAAATATTTCATAAAAATATAGTTCAATTAAGCAGCGTATCAAACTTCAAAGAACTTACTTTGCCTGTAATAATATAATAATTTAAGCATGTGTTTTGCCATATAAAAATTATTATATATTTACAGAAAATTGCTCCAATGAAAAGTGTGAGGTGACAGAAGTTAAGCAACGCGATAGGCTTTTCTACAAGGATGGGTGACCGGTTTTTATTACACGCTTTTTATTGAGTTGCTCTGTTGGTTTCTTTGTATGTCACGTTCAAATCTTGCAATCGATTTTTCGACCACTTCTATTGCTCCAATCGAGCTCAAATTTTGTATACACATGTATTCCCGGTGACAATACAATATTTCAACACTTTAGAACCACACAAATGCTTAATTATAGTACAATTTTAATAAAACTTTTTTATATGGGAAAAAATCCAATGTCAATGATATAAAATTTTGATTTGTTTAAAATATTATACTTGAAATGCTCAAAAGTCATTTATATGATTCACTATAGTTTAATTACTGTTACTAATTATTAATAATACTAATAATTGGAGAAGCTGAAGATTTTCTGGGAGGATGAAAAAATTGACAAGTAATTTTTTCATGAATATCCGTAAGTGAAAATTTGAATTTTCAAAAAAACCGTTAATCACAAGTCCGTTACGAATTAATGCAAAATAACTATCAATATGTGATGTGCATTTAGCACACATAATTTGAGCATAAACGTATGTTGTTTTAAATGTATTACAATATTTATAGCACTTCACCAATTTAATTAAATTGACTTCTATTTATTATCGGCTTAACGTAATTTTGCATAACATATGAATGACATTCATTGAATTTAAATTTGAAAAATCCGTTATAAATACGTTACATATAGATGTGATTTGCATCTTTATGTTAAGAATCCACTCGTTATGTAATAAGAATGGTACGGATAAACACAAAATCTTTACGATTGATTTTTAATGTTCTTTACTCATGAATGTTTTAAAAAACACAGAAAACGCAAATAATTGAAGTTCAGGACATTTTTTGGAAGAGTTTTATGTGTTTCCAGGTATGACTTAAATTATAAAAACGAATGAAAAATCCTGACAGTCGTTACTAATTGCCCATTAAAAAATGGGAATATATTAAAAGTTGAACGAAACGAAGTGGAGTTGAATTTGAATTGTTGTGGTCGAAATTCGATTAAAAGATTGAGACTAAAAAGCAATTAAGTCCTTTTGGACTTGTAGATCTATTGTTGGTAAAAACTGGGGATTAAAACCCAATATGATGTATTGGCTGTATGAGCAAGTTATTCTACCAAGAATTATGTATGGATGTGTTGTTTGGTGGCATAAAATGAAACAAGTTTTTGCCTCTCAGAAAATTGAGAAACTGCAAAGAATAGCAGAATTGTCAATTTGCGGTGCTTGGAAAACTACTACAAAACTTGCTTTGGATAGATTTCTTGAGCTTCCTCCACTTCGAGTGAGAATCGAAGCTGCAGCTCAAACAAGTGCATCCAAATTGAAGGTTAATAAATTATGGGTTAATGACTGGATTTCTACAGGTCATATGGAATTAAATCGATTTCTAAGGAGTGTAAGTTTGTTTACCTTAGAATCGGATCATATAGTGTCAAAATACGTTTTTGACAAACCTTTTAAGGTAGTTGTATCAAAAGATAATGCTGCTGAATCTTGTGATTTGGTGGATAGTAATTGTATGTATGTATACACTGATGCATCAAAGTCAGAAAGTGGTGTTGGCATCGGTCTGTTCAGCAATGAGCTGAGTTTGAATTCATCCTATAAACTGCAGGATCATGCTTCTGTCTTTCAGGCAGAAGTTCAAGCTATTTGTGAGGGTGCTAATTACTGTTTGGATATTGATTTGAAAGGCTGTAGAATTTGCTTTCTTTCAGATTGTCGATCAGCTTTGACGGCTTTAAAGAATTGTGTTGTGAAGTCTTTAACAGTTCTTGATTGTATTTCTTGTTTAACAGCATTGGGGCAAGATAATGAAGTCATCCTAAAATGGATACCTGGACACAGTGGTATTGAAGGTAATGAAACAGCTGATCAATTAGCTAAAGAAGCGGTACACAAGGAAGCTTATGACAAGTCGACGTACTATGGGTTTGGCTTGTTGAAGTTAGACATACGAGAATGGATGGAGAGACAGCATTTTCGTATCTGGAATTTAGAGGAAGGAGCCATGACAGCCAAAAGACTTCTAGGTCCTAAAAATAAGAATAAAATATCGGATGCTCTCAGACTACCAAGGAAAGATCTTAGCATCTTAATTGGTGCTTTGACAGGACACATGCCAATGCTAAAGCGCCGCAATTTAGCTAACGATAGAAAAACTTCCATCTCCTTACGCGGTTGATTTGTAACGTTTAAGACTGGACTTGACTGACCAAAGCGTGATGTGTCATTTTTAATTGTTTAATAATTTAATATTTAATTATAATGGGCAATATGCCACAATCAAAAATATCTAAATGTTTCAAAATCCAAAACGGAAATGCATATTTAAATCATTCATGTATCACTGCTGATGTTTTCGAATACCTTCGGGTAATAAATTATATACTTACTTACTTACATGAGTATCAATAGTTTTCTTTTTAAATTGAATTTGTCTAACAGTAAAATTTGCAGGTTTTGTAATGTGAATGAAGAAACAATCATTCATATCAATTCATATACTTTGTAAATGTAGGTCATTACGAGGACAACGTGTCAAGCATTTTGATGAGGACTATTTGAATGATGAGGATATAAATAAGCAGCATTATCAGGACATTATTGGCTTCATTAAGGACATCGGAATTCTAACATAGGGGACTTGGGATGGTACAACAGATCATCGATCGCAGTGCCGCTTTTGCTATTAGCAAAACCCTACATTACATTCTATTCTATGTTGTCTTCTCATTTGAGTATGCTTATGATTTTACTCAGTGAGCTTAATGCATGTCACATAGGAATGTGCTCACTGAGCATACTCAAAAAGGTACCGTGATCGCATCACTTTAATGTATGAAATGAGCACATTCAAAAGTTTGCAAGCTCACAAATAATGTGCTCTGAGTATACTCATTGTATGTTCGGATGAAGTCTGAATAAAAATAAAATTTAACTAACCTCGTTTAATGTGTGTTCCTGAATTTTTTTTCGCCATAAATGGTATCCAATTTTTGAAGTAACATTTTCTTCGTTCATCAATTCCTGAACAAGACCATCGCTAAATTTGAATCCGATAAACATCAAAAAGTCGAATAAATAGCATCGCAAATAGAAGTTTTTTGGAACGACAGAGTAACTTTGTTGAAAGCTTTCAGAAACTTTTTTCCGCATCTTCATTAAAAATTCTTCTTTGTTAAAATCTCGAACAAATTGAATTGATGCTTCATATCTTTGAATCATGTAGCGAACAGTAACAATACTTCCATGCGACAAATTTGGATCCTCTCGAAAAATGTAACGAATCTTGTCCTTGAGTACTTTTAACATTTGGTGTGGTAAATGCCATTGTGCATAACATTTTGCAGCTAAGACTCTTATCTTCTCACATGGATGATAGATTAGCTTTTTAAAAGCATCGCCCATTCTATCCATTTCAGACCAATATTCATAAGGTTCTCGTATTTCAAAATTTGAGAGGATTTCCAATAAAATAATGATATAAGTTTGGGACAAATCATTATGATTATTTTCAAGATCAAATAATGCAATTCTAAAAGCATACGTAAATTTAACATAATGTTCATAAACACTTATTGCTTTTGATTCATATCGTGGCTTGTCAGACTCTTCAATGTTATGTCTTTTATGATTAGAAATTTTGGGTGTAATACTTCCAATAATCTGCAGTAATGCATTTTGCATCACAAAATCATTTGATTCCTTGTATGCTCTAAATGTTGCTATTAATATGTAGTCATAGTAAGGTAGCATATCTTCAACCAGTTCACTATCTTTTACGATAATAGCTAGCAGATGTACATGTATAGGTTTAATGTCGTGAGCAAATTTGATTTCTTGTGTATCATTAAACGATTTAATTTCTTTCAACTTTAAAAGTCGTTCCATTAGAAACTTAATAAATGGCGGATGATTTCGAACGATTAAATGAGACATCAAAACCATTCCTCGTGATCCTCTTATTTCTCCTGTTTTTGATGCGTGTCTTTTTCCACAATCAAGTTCACGCTTAAGCATTATCAAGAGTTTTTGTAAGTTTTTAGCAGAATTGCTGCTTCGATCACATTGCTGAATAAATTCTGAAGACACAATTTTGGTAATGACTCCTAATGATTGACTTGAAGCTTCAATAACACCTTTATGACAAAATCTTGTAAGAATTTGTATGTTAATATTAACACATGTTGAAAATCTCATAAAATAATCCTCTTCATGAGGTTGATAGATACAACTTGTTACTTTTGCTAATGCAACTGAGAACTCTGACAGCGAACGAGCTGTAAAGAAGAACGAAAGTAAGAGTCTCTGCTTTGTATCTGATATGTCGTCACTTTTAAATTCTGATGATACCACTAGTTTATGCAAATGTTTATGCAGCAAATCGAAACTTGGCGGAATTTTATCATCACTGATAAAATCTAAAAACTGAAAAGTAAGTCCTTCAGCAATTGATAATAGTTTTGAGATGATTCCTTTTGCCAATAACTTTTTATCAATCTTGGAAAGGAGATAATTTATTGTATCAATTAAAGCAAAAACACTTTCACCCTTTTGTATGGCATTGATTGGATCATTTGTTAGCTTCAACTTTTTACTTCTGGTTTCTAAATCACTCGTTAAATTTTCTAGCTCGTAAACTATATCCAATGAGTTTTTTGCTATCAAGTGTTCAATTTTCATCTTACAGTAACTAATGTTTTCATGATAAGACTCAATATCCCTTATATTGAGATTTTCAGTCATCAATGCGTCAATCCATATCAAGAAAGATTTTCCATTTATAATTGTATTTTCACTTATTGTTAATGTCTTGATAAAATATTCTAAGATTATTTCATTAGCGATTCTACATATGTCACTATTTTCAGTATCTCTGGACATTTCCACGAGATGTTTGAAGACTTCTACTGATGTTATGTCCCAAATGTTATTGTCTTTGAGGTGGTTTTTAAATTCCTGATGATTATTATTATTTATATTAGACTTTTTACTTAAACGTTTTTGCTTGATGCTTCCACAATATTGCTTAAGTATCACTTCCAACATTTTTAAACTAAAAACTTTAGATTCGTAAGTGCCAAATTGTATTCCATGATTGAATATATCATCTCGAATGATTGTAAAAATTTCCTTACAAACCTCAATCGAGCGAAATCTAGTTGTGGCAAGATGATTGAAAAAGTTTGGAAGCTTTCTCATCACGCTATCTATATACAGTGAATCCTGAACGCACATGTTAAAATGAATAAATTTAAGAAATCTCAGTGTGTTTTCAATAGCAGTTTCAAACATCTTTGAGCTATATACACTATTAAGTAAAATATTGAAAATTTCTAATTTAATATTGACATCATCAATGGAGTAGCTATAGCTTCTTAGTGAATTTTCAATTTTCAAACTTATTGAACGATTGAATGCATTTGTTATTATTAATGATCGGTAGAAGAATGGTGAGACTGATGATACTGCATTAAAATCATAGCTGTTTGTTAGTGCATAAAATAGATCATTTTTAAGATTGTCATCAAAGCAGGTAAACCAATATCTAAAATAATTAGTTGCTTCATAGTTCGAGCCTTTGAGAATAATATCTGTAGATATTTCAATTAATTGTTCACGAAATGTTTGGATGTGGGCAATGACTTTAATCACAGATAATGATGAAGAATACAAGTGGTACTGTGAAAGTCCAATTCTCAAACCGTTCATGAATTTCTTGGTATCAAAGTCTTTGTAGTTCAACAACATATCCGATTTGTGTATTAGAACTTGTATCAAAAGGTAGTGTTTGCTTCGGTTGTGCCATGACATCTTGTTTAAAACTAAATCTACGATATCCTTATCAGCCTTTCTTTCGTTAATGACAATCCGTTGAAATAGTTCTATTAAAAGTTTATGAACATTTTTATGACAGTTTTCTAAATTTGTACAAATCATTGCAATAATGAATGGATCATAGCTTTTAACTATTTTGATGTCGTATGCTTGGATGTAGTTTTCAATTGCCATTGAGAAGAACTTTGTTGTTTTGGAATACTTTAATGAGCATTGAATTAAGGTATCATATAGAACTTCCGAGCTATAAATATGATCCAAAAATAGCTTATGATTTTGCAGCCTTCCATATGCAGAAAGACAATTTGCCCCAATAATACCATGTTCCAGCGCATAGCTCTCTTGTATATTCTCAAATCCATTAATGTTAGCGATGACTGACAATTTGACGATTGCATTTATTAGCACTTTATGAAATGACATTGTCTTGGTATTAACAAAATGTTTTTGTAATATCTTAACCACTGAGCTAGCCATCAGCTCAAATTCTGGTGTGGATGATTCTGCTGTAACGTTCATGTAGAATATTTTCTATAAAAATATTTTATGTTACCGCTAAATGATTAAATTAATTTTATCGATAACTTACCCTAGCAATTTGCAAGACTTCATCATATTTTGCTTGATTTTGCAGTTGGGCATGCAAATGATCTATGTTTTCAGCATGTTTCTTCATCATTTTGATTTAATTATACTTTTTGTTAATGTTTCGAGCTGTGCACCTTTTTTTAATGCTCAGTTTTGCTTAGTATTGCTCAATTTGATTTTTCTAACGACTTTTCATTGCGTACGAATTAGGTACTGGGGGTCCTCGATTTGAGTAGATTCTATTTGAGTAGATTCAATTTGAGTAGATTCGATTTGAATAGAAATATTTTTACCCACCAAAATAGTCGAATTGAGTAGATTTCTTCTTGTTTTCTTCGAATTGAATTGTTTACAAAACAAATGTTTTTGACAAAAACTTTTCAAAAAATATTTTTAAACATAAATTTTAATGCAATAATCATGAACTAATCATATTGATAGAAAAATCAATAATAAAATTACAAAGGTAATGTAAAAATTTACAAAATCGATATAAAAAAAAACGGTTTTAAAAAATTCAAATTTCAAAACCTTACAAATTGTTCGGTTGAAATAACATTTGTAAGGTTCTCATAGGGTAAATACTTTTGAAAATTGCACACTTTTGAAATTTGCACACTCATATGAAAATAAAAAATACAAATTTCTCCCAGAATATCCAATCACAAAATCTTTGTATAATTATTGTACAAATGTTGTTGTACCATTTTAAGTTGTCTAAAGGCATCAGGAAGATGAATTCCTTCAGCGATCAATTTTTCATACAAAATGAAACTTTGCAAAATATTAAGTTTTGGGATATAATCAGTGTCGTTATCAAATATTTTGATATCAAAAAATGTAGTTCTTAAGCTGTTTAAAATTTTGGAAGTATTTCTTTTGTGAAAAAATATGCGGAACTGCCCAAAAACTCACTTTTAAAAAAGCTTGTTTTCAACTTTTAAAATTTGCACAAAAATTTGTCGAAACTTTTGAAATTTGCACAGTTTTAAGCGTAGGAGGTATTGAAAAATTCGATGTAAACATTAATTCTTTTGATGTAAACATTAATTTTTCTGATTCAAAACATTAATGTTTTATGCCTGAAATGAATATAGCGATGAATGGGACTGTAGGAAAATTGAGAAAAATATTCAAAAATCATAGGCGATTAAAAATTTACCGAAAAAGGAGTTGAAAAAAGCAAGAAATTCACGAAGTCAAATTTTAAAAAGAGCAAGTGTTAAATTGTTTCTAAAGGATAAATCCATGATCAAGCAAAGAAATGGCATCAAAATAAAATAATAATTTGCGAATTTAAAAATAGAATTAGTCTTTATTTAAAGATGAATGATAGGAATGAAATCAGCTTAAATATGAGATATCCATTTTAAGTACTTGATCTTTAGTTTTACATATAATGGATCCTGTTTTGATTTCTTGTGCTTGACTTTTGAATTTTTTCTTCAATTTTCCTATAAATTTTCAACGACGATGCATGTGACGATATTAGAATAAGAAATTAGTAATACTGTTATTAGATTTGAAAATTACCAGATGAAAATATTATTTATTCTCCCAAAAAAATAAAAAAAATAATTGTTTACATAAAATAAATACAAAATTGTCATGGATTGCTTTCAAAAAAGTGTGCAAATTTTAAAAGTTTTTTGTGCAAATTTTTAAAATTTCCATGCAAATTTCAAAAGTCAAAAATAAAACGCCTATATCTCTGCTAATATCCATCGTAGCTTTCAGAAAGAAGTTGCAAATGAAAATTTCCACAATTCTCAACAGCTCAAAAGTTTTTTTAAGCCTTAAAAACAGAGTTTGAAAATAAAATGAAAATTGCTCTATTTTGAAAATAAATCAAAATGAAAATTATGAAAATTGCCAATTTTGATCAAAGCAATTTTGCAATTTTGTCAATTTCAGAAAATTGCAATTTTGGAAATTGTTTATTTTCCAAAATTGCAATTTTGGAAATTATCAATTTTCAATTTTGTGACGTCACAAAATTTCTTCGGGAATTTTGTATGAAAATTTTCATATGAATTGATGACTTTATGCTTGAGACTTTCCTTGATTTTTAATCAAAACCATTATCAGCAATCATAGCAGCAAATGATGAAAATTAATAACGAATCATAAGTACTATGCTATATGAGATATCCCATATGGAACTGGTTATGTCCAACTGACTGGAACTGCCAAAAAAAATTTATTTGTTTTCTATACTTTTTAGACACTTTCAGGCATGGGGTGGAACCAGGCACTTCCTCTACTTCCAGATCTGATTTTAGGTGCTAACTATACCAGGGAGGTTAAAAAAAATCAGGTTAGCAAAAAAGTTCGGAAAATTCAGCAGTTCCTCTCCCCTAATAAAATTTACATCGAACATGTTTTTCATACATTTTCAGAAATGAATTTTTTTTTTTTTGATAATCATGTCTGTATGCAGCATTATGAGTACCTTTAATTTAAAATAAACTTAAAGGAACAACGCATCAAACACGCAGGAATTAGCAAGTATTAAGTTAAAAACGAATATCAACATCCAGGAAATAAACTGTATCTTTTGTTTTTCTGAAGAAAAAATTCATTTAAAAAGAAGAAAATTTTCATACAAAATTATTCATCAAATATTTATGACGTCACAAAAATAAAAATTGATAATTTCCAAAATTGCAATTTTGGAAAATAAACAATTTCCAAAATTGCAATTTTCTGAAATTGACAAAATTGCAAAATTGCTTTGATCAAAATTGGCAATTTTCATAATTTTCATTTTGATTTATTTTCAAAATAGAGCAATTTTCATTTTATTTTCAAACTCTGCTTAAAAATAATATGTTAAAAAGTTTCAAGCAAATGAAATTTTCATGTGCAAAGTTGTGCAAATTTCAAAAGTGTTTACCCCAGACTTACGCCACCTTATATTCGAAAAAATTCGAAATGTCTTCGAAATTAATGTCGAAAACTTCGAAATTTGAGACAAAAATTTGAATTTTTATTGACCGTTAAGAAAAATGTAAACAAATCAAAAAATTTAAAATCAAAATCAATGATTTAAGCTTCTTTTAACAATGATTTAACTAAATTTACATAATCTTAATTATGTTTCATCACTATTAATGAATTCAATTAACAATTAATTAACAAATTTATAATTCGTGAAAAAATTCACTAACACATTTACAACTTTTGTTTACTTTTGATATTTTTGTTCTGAAAATTTTTAAAATCACCAATTCTTGCATTTACTTAAGCATTTTCAGTTCAAAAACATTAAAAATATGTCAAAGATTATTTATTTTAAAGAACTAAACAGTTAAAAGCTTCGAATTATGTTGAATAAAGTTTTTTTCCAACGGTTAAAAAAGATTCAAAATGTTTGAAAAAAATCGGTAAAACTTCTGTAACTGACAATCTTTAACGTGACGTTAGTCTGGTTTACCCTATTTATGATCTGTTGAAAAAACATATTTTTTGTGAATTTCTGTTAAAATCACTTATGAATATGCTTTAAAATAAATTAAGTTATCTAAAATACAAAAAAAAGTTAAGAAACGAGGTAAAATGTGCAAAAAATTATAAAAATTTTCATTGTTCTCTGGAACAAAACATGTGATTTTGTATGGATTTCTTGCCTCGATCTCAATAGATTCGATTTGATTAGAAAATTTTCGGAACAAAATAACTGCTCAAATCTAGGACCCCCAGTAATTGGCCTCGTTTTAGATAACTTAATTTATTTTAAAGCATATTCATAAGTGATTTTAACAGAAATTCACAAAAAATATGTTTTTTCAACAGATCATAAATATGAGAACCTTACAAATGTTATTTCAACCGAACAATTTGTAAGGTTTTGAAATTTGAATTTTTTAAAACCGTTATTTTTTATATCGATTTTGTAAATTTTTAAATTACCTTTGTAATTTTATTATTGATTTTTCTATCAATATGATTAGTTCATGATTATTGCATTAAAATTTATGTTTAAAAATATTTTTTGAAAAGTTTTTGTCAAAAACATTTGTTTTGTAAACAATTCAATTCGAAGAAAACAAAAAGAAATCTATTCAAATCGAATCTACTCAAATTTAATCTACTCAAATAGAATCTACTCAAATCGAGGACCCCCAGTATTTAAATTTTAAAATTTCATTTCTAACGGTTGTCAAACATTTCATCCTCTAGGAAAATTCAAAATCAACAAAACTGCAGTAATTAACCAAAAAAAGAATGAAAAAGCAGCAATTTTGTCATAAGAGTTATTTAATAAAGTATTTATCGTGAAAACCATGGCTTTAATGGTGACAAACTCTTTAAGTAAGTATAACTTTCATTATTCAATAAAAAACACAAAAAAAGTCATTAATAATGCATTTTAGGCTGCGAGGAAAGATTTTTTGAAGATATAATTAAACAGCTCAAAGATCAAAATGTGAATTTATACCGTCCTCAAACTAAAAAGGCTAAGAAAGGCAAAATTTTCTCACTGGAAGTTGTTGAAATTATGCTGCGAAGAAGAATGTATACAACCAACTACTGGAAGTTTATTAAAGATGTCCATAACAGTTTCAAATTCATTCAAAAATACTTTTCAAAAAGAACCGTGTTGCATAGATTAGCGTTAGAAGTAAGTTGTTGTTTTCCCTTTACGAACATTCTCTTACTAATGATTTTCATAGTGTCAAGTACAGTTCAATGGTCTAATGGATGAATTTATGAATAATCGAGGATATTGTTGCGGAACTTGGCATACAAGAAAATCAAGGCAAATTCAATGTTCAGGAGATTCTAAATGTTACGTTAAGATAAAGACTGAATACTTTAGATTAAACTCGTACACTTTTTGTCAAAAATGCTTCAAAAAGCTTCCAAACACAGACATACTGCTGAATGAAAACATGTAAGTTTATAAGTTCATTGCATTTTAATTGAATGGTAAGGCAGTTTCCTCTTTGATTCATTGATAGCACTGCCAATAAAGCAGATTTTGAAACATGCTTTCATAACGAAGAAGAGTCTGAAGACTTTATATCATGTACTAAATGCAAAAAGTTATTTCACGAGCGCTGTGTTCTGCACATCAACCAATCAGAAATACCATTTTATTGTCAAAGATGTAGAATTGGAGAACCAGAGCTGAAAATAATCAACATCTCTTCGGAACAGATTGCAAAGACAGAATGTGACACTTATATCGAAAATTTCTTAAGACAGCACAAAATTCCAAATTGTGATAATATTGTAGTAAGATTGGTAAGCAACGTGCCCACAACTTTCACCATAAATCCTGTCATTGCCAAGTATCAAGATAAAAATTATGGACATGAAATAAGTTATAATAATTGCGTCATTTTCGTCTTTCTCAAATTATCCGATGGCACAGAAATTTGTTTCTTCGGAATATATTTCCAGCTTTATGGTAACTCAAACTGTCCAGTACCAAACAAGAATTCAGTATATCTTAGCTACATTGATTCTGTCAAGCTATGCAATATGAAAGATCGGACAAAAACATATCAATTTATTCTCCTGGGATTATTTAAATATTTAAAGATGAAAAACTTTCGACGAATATTTATTTGGAGCTGTCCACCAAAGCGTGATGTAGACTATATTTTTCACGAGAAACCATCTGATATGAAGATACCGACAATGACTCGATTAGGCGATTGGTATAAAAAATTAATGAAATTGGCAGTTGATGAACATATTGCAGAATCATTTAGTGGAATAAAAAGCTATTCAGAAAGTCAAAATTGGGAAGATATTAACAATATTCCTTACTTTGAGTCAGATTTATGGCCAAAAAGACTTGAAAATGCAATTACCACAGCAGAAAAACTTTTAAAGAAGACACCTGAGAATATTGATGTGATGGACAAAATCTTGTCACTAATGAAGTTTCAAATTAATGGATTTGATCAGCAATATTTCGTCCTAAATCTGCAAACTACATCATTAAGAACAATCAACCCATCATTTCCTAAAAACGTCATATGCAAGTGGCTTAGTAGCCGTAATAATCTTGTGGATATGTTCTTTGAGCACAATCTTGAATATTCAAATGAAAGACTTGCAAAATTCAGTACATCAATTCTTTTGTATAGAATTATAATTGACTTGAGAATTTGCATCCATTGCTGCAAATTCACATGTTCCGGATTAAGTGTAAGTAATATAAAACTAACTTAACAGACTCATTAATTTTAAGGATATTATTTTCACAGACTTCATTGATGTGCACAAATTGTTCACAAAGATACAGGATTGGTAAAATGGAAAGGTCAGTTTGGAAATTGGAAATAAATGAAGTTTTTATTGAGGACAGTAACAGTTTCTTCAAAGTATCAGTTCCAATTACACCATTACTTGAAAACCAAGAGCAAAATTTAAATGTCACAAAGCCTTCCTTAAAGAAGAAATTAATTGATAGAAATGACGATTTTGATTGCATCGTACCGTCTAAAAAGAAAAAGTATGGTAATCGATCAGCTTCGTCGGAGATGTTTCAAAAGCAATTTACACCGATGGAAACTCGATCAAAGAAGATTGATTATAAAACAAGAAAGCAAGTTAAGAAAAACGTGGTAAAAAAGATTAAGAAGTTTTTTATCTAATATGAATAAGTTACTAAGTCACTGATGTTTCCTTATTACGGCTTATTACGTACAAGACATACATGTTCACATATTTAAAAAAAGATTTAAATAAAAAGAAAATTTATTCATTTTAGCGCATTTTTGTATACTTGTATACAAAAAGGGAGCTTAATAATGCACTTTGTTCGAAAAAAATATATCTTGTTCAGTCTTTTTACTGTATTGGCCATGTGATCAAAATTATCTATATTTTTACTTTTTCTGACTATAATTTCACCAAATTTTTATTAAGCTACGTTAATTGCAATAAAATCTATTAATTTCATATGCAATCGAAGGGTAAGACTGTACGAGATTGGGCACAATGTTTTCTTATTGCTTTTAATGTGTACATTAATAAAAACAAAAGTTTTTGTGGTGGAAACGCATTTGGAACAAAAAAATTTTTTTGCAGTTAATTTGCAGTTGATCAAAAAATTTATTTTTGCAGGTGGTTTGCAGGAGGTTTAAAGTTGATCAAAAATTTTATTTCAAATTATTTATTGACCGTTAAATAATAAAGCTTTTCTATATAAGCATTTATTATAATTATTTGTTAATTACACTAAAATGAATGATCTTCTAATCTTCTAATGATCTGTAAACGAACGCAAAATAATTAGATAATCAAATACTGATCGCTGCGTCAAAAATGCGCTGAAGTCCCTCGATCACGAGGACTTTTGTAATTTTTTATAATTCATTTCAATTCCTTAATTTTAATCACAATTTTTTCTAGTAATTCATTCACTTTTTCGATAACGTCTTTACATGTCTCATATTGATTATTCACCGCAACTTTAATGCATCCTTGAGATGTTAATCTTGCTGAAGACAGTTGAGATAAAACAAGCATTTTTTCGGTCTCTTGTACATCATTAGCTGCATTAAGTGAAGACTGGCATAACTCATAAGAGAGTTTTAAGAATTTCAAGCACATCTGTTCATCTTTTGACCAATCCGGTGATTTCTGTGGATCAAAAACAAATTAATAAAGCTAAAATCGTAAACAGTTTAAGAAATAAGCTTACAGAAACATATCCTTTGTAAGCTTTTTGAAGCTTTTCTGCCTTTTTTAGTTGTTCATCTGTTAATAATGCAGACAGCTCCCAAACAATCCCTTCGGACATTTTTATAGATCCAATGTGTGCCAACATTTCTAATGCTTTCTTCCTTAATCTAATAGATTTATTTCCTTCAATGTCGACCAAATCATTGGATATTGCAGTAATTAATATTTTCAGTACTTCCTCATCAAAATATTTTTCTTTTAATTCAATTAATCTATTGTATGCATTCAAACCATCTTCAAAACTTCCAATATCTATGCTTACAAAAAGAAAATTTTCCCAAATTTTCCAATTATCAAAATTACATTTTAGAGCTTCTTGTAATACTTTATGAGCACGTTTCTTATCGCCTAGTTTAATAAAGCATTTAGCTAGATTATTCCACGATTCAAATCCATTCGGTTCGAGTTGTGTGTACCTTAAATATGCGCTAGAAGCAATTTCATATTTCTCTAGAGATAATGCAGCATAGCCAAGTCTCAGCCACAAGTTTTCTTGAAGTGAATTTATTTCAAGTGATTTTTGAAGATGAGGAACTGCCTTTTCGTAGTCATTCTTTCCAAAATAAAACATTCCGAAATGTTTTTGAGCCAAACCACTTTTATTCTTTGAAAATTCCCAAGCCTTTTCATAGTACGTAATGTCATCTAAAGCATCACCAAGTAGACAATATAATTTTACAGTTGGCTTCTTTTCAAGTTCTTGTTGAATGATTTCAGCAGCTTTGTGCTTTAATTGCAATCGTGTGTAGCAGTTAATTACTTCTTCCCATTGTTGTATTCTAAGATAAACATCCAGCGCTCCTTTAATAAGACCCAAGCTCACCATTAAATCAGCCAAAAGGCCTTCAATCTTATAAAGTGGAGTCATTAGACTTGAAAAGATATACGAGAGTTTATCGTTAGCTTTTACTTCATCAGCATTTTTCTTCATACTGTTTACGACATCTTCACATTGCCTTAAACATCTGTCGATTGTTCTTCTATGATTTGATTCAAGCTTTATATTAATCAATAATGATTCCAATCTTATTGACCATGTTCCATGATTTTGTTTCAATAAGAGCATCAAGTATGACTGAATTCCTTCATCTGAAAGCTTATCTTTAGGCTGCGAAATTTGCAAGTATTTAATGTTGAGTAGCACGAAGTTTTGTAATAATGATGAAAGAATTTGTAATTCATTGTGCTTATCATCCATATACTTTACACTCTCCAATCGTGTATCATCATCTAATTCCAACAGTTTTAACAACTTGACATTTTCATGTGTTGCTTGCGGTGAAATAAAAAGTTCAGAATTGTCTCCCAGAATTGAAACATGAAATTGAGGAAGTGCTTTTTGTTGCCATTTCGTTCTTTTGCCTAAAATACCTTCTTCGACAGCTTCAACATGATAATCATTTTTAAGCTCCTTGATCAATTCGTCTACTTTGTAAACACGACGATACATAAGATAAATGGATATGATTTCAAGTTTTATGATAAATCTATGTCTTATGCTTTCTATTTCTTCCAATTTGCTACAGGTAAGTCGATCCTGGATTTTTTTAAATGCTTCATAAAGAGACATCGAGTTTTCATCCAGAGACAATTGATGAACTTTAATCATTCTCATATACCAAATGAGTATTAAAATGTCATTAGGATAGCTCTTAAAAAGATTGTCCAAAAATGTCTTGGCAACAAAAAGAAATTCAGTTTTCTTTATGTTTGCATTTATTTCGATACCATCGACTTGCAAATCTGTACAGTTCATCTGGATGTCAAGCTTTACTCGATTTGTGGAACCAACAAAGTTCACTTCCAAAAATGACAAAAGACACGATATCGAGTAAGCCAACTTTTCATCTTTAGTAAAGTTTTCATCTCCAGATTTAATATAATTCACAAAATTTTCACCATCAATATTTTCATTCCAATTTCCATTCACAACATTTTTAAACAATTGATTATCTGCTGAATCTGATGAGAACAGAATGATTATTTAATCTACATGGATAGTCTTAATAGCTTACCACTAGAATCACAGCTTTCAAACAGAAACAACAGTTTCCCAGACATTTTAATGCAATAATTGTGAAATTTACTTTTTCAAACGATTTTTTAAAGCACGTTTTGATCAAAAACATAAACAATTTCAAATATTTTTTCCCGTTAATACATACTAAGTGAGATGCTTACTTTTTTGATCTGAGCTGCCGATTTCGTGTGACTTATCATCACCCCTGTAAATTATATCTTAATTTTCTGCTCAATAAGCTTATAAAATTTAATTTTTATGAAAATTCAGTAAATAATTCGTTCACACAATATTAACGGGTTTAGAAATTTCAAATAATTATTTTCAAGTAATAAAACTTTTCTTGGGTTAACAACGCATTCTAATACAGAGAGCTGGTCAATCTGACAGATAATCAAAATCATTAATTATCATTAAAAATTGATGCTTAAAAAAACAAAACAAAGCATGAGTCAAAAATTAAAGTGGAAAAATCTAGAAAAGCCGCTTTCCAAGCCTATCCTAAGGATTATTCAGGATGTATTTAAATTCGAGAAGATGACACCAGTGCAGGTAATACAAATCAGTGGTTGAAAATGTAAATATTCTAAATTGTATATTTGCAGTTTGCAACGATTCCTCAATTAATGTCTCATAAAGATGTAGTCTGTGAAGCTGTTACTGGATCAGGCAAAACGCTTTCATTTATAGTCCCAATGCTAGAAATATTATTAAAACGCCACAATGAGTATCAATGGAAAAAGACAGAAATTGGAGCAATAATTCTGTCGCCAACAAGAGAATTAGCAACACAAACAAGTGACGTTCTGGAAAAATTTCTCAATGAACCAGAATTCAACTTTTTATCCCAGAAACTCCTAGTTGGTGGAACTAGCGTGGAAGAAGATGTTGAATATTTCAGAAAGAATAGTGTACATATATTAATATGCACAGTTGGACGATTAATGGATTTGCTTGAAAGGAATGATGATATTAAGCTTGCTGGACGAGTAAAAAGCGTGGAAATTCTTATACTCGATGAAGCTGATCGTTTACTAGACCTTGGATTTGAAGTTCAAATTAATACAATTTTGAGCTACTTGCCAAAACAACGTCGATCTGGACTTTTTTCAGCTACACAAACAAAGGAATTATTTGATTTGATAAGAGCTGGACTTAGAAATCCAGTGATTATTAGTGTCAAAGAGAAAGCTAATATTAGTACACCTAAATTACTACAGAATTTTTATATGATTGCTCCTGCCGAACAAAAGTTGAATTATTTGTTAAAGTTTATTGAATCGTTTGATATCCAAAAGGCAATGCTGTTTCTTCCGACTTGTGCCTGTGTAGAATATTGGAGTGAAATATTACCACACTTACTTGACATGCCGATACTGTCAATTCATGGAAAAATGAAAAAGAAAAGGTTAAAGATTTTAAATCAATTTAGAGAACTAGACAAAGTCATTTTATTATGTACAGACTTAATGGCAAGAGGTGTAGATGTTCCTGAAATGGATTGGGTTCTGCAATTTGATCCACCATCAAATTCTGCATCGTTTGTTCATCGAGTTGGTCGAACAGCAAGGCAAGGATGTGAAGGAAAAGCTTTAATTATGTTATTGTCAAATGAGACTCCTTACATCGACTTTTTATCCAAAAATCAAAAGATTGAAATGAAAGCTGCAGAAACGAATGAGGATTGGAATGATAATTTTAATAGAATTAATGGAATCATTCATAAAATACAACAAAAAGACAAGAATATTTTTGATAAAGCTACTCGTGCCTTTGTGTCTCATATAAAATCATACAGTAAGCATGAATGCAATTTAATTCTAAGACTCAAGGATCTTGATTTGGGAAAAATTGCATCAAGTTATGGACTTTTAAGACTTCCAAAAATGCCAGAGATGAAGGATGAGTTTAATAAAAGTTTTATTGGACCCGATAAAATCGTTGATATTAACTCATTAAAGTACAAAAATAAACAGAAGCAAGAAGCTTATCAAAAGAAGCAACTCATTTATCAAGAAACCGGTGAATGGCCAGGGAAAAAAGTTATAGTCAAGAAATCAAATGAGTCGTGGACTGAAGCAAAGCAAAAAAAAGATATACGTAAAGAAAATCGTAAAAAACGGCAAGAGATCAAAAAGAATGTTCATGACGCAAAGGAAAGGGGTGAAGCTGTTCCAAAAAAACGGAAGAAAAATCAATATTCACAGGAAGATCTTGAAGAATTAGCAAAGGACATTAGAGCAATTAAAAAATTCAAGAAAAATAAAATAAGCAAGGAGGAACTAGACAATGAAATGGGTTTATCAAATGACAGCGGCGATTCTGATTAAGGGCAATTCTTTGGATGACTTTTGGAAAATTGTCAGCAAAAAATCGAAACTTTATTGATTTTTCCCATAAGAGACACAGATTTTATGATTCTTATCGATGTAAAAATCTAAAATGAACACTACTTTTGATATCATATACTTCTAATTCGCTGTATTAATTAAGTTATTTGGATTCAATAACTCGATGACAGAAATCGGAATTTTCAATTTTCTAGAAAACTATTGATATTTACATTGATTAACTTTTACTGAGTTATAGAACAGACAAAAATCTTTAATTTGGTTGCTTTTTTATGTGCTTTTAAAAAGAAATGTTTCAATTCTTTGAAAAATTTCCTTGTGTCATCGAGTTATAAAAAAGCTTTTTTTTGTCTTAATCCGTGAAAAAATACAAAATTTTCAAACATATTTTTTCAATTTTTCACTTAATTTGGTTGAGTTGTAACATTTCAGTAAATCACTTGTAAAGAATTAATTATGTTTTATGATCTACGAAAGTTCTGGCTTATTATTCCTTCACAGTAATATGAAATTAAAGAAAACATTTTATTGGCACAAAACTCATTGACATTGGATTATGAAAGCTCTTTTTTTCAAATTCGACTTATCCAAAGAATTGCCCTTAAGTTTTATTATTTGAAAGTGTTTAAAAAATTTTCTTAAAAACTTCGAAAAGCCAATTCAAATCTTAGTTGCACAAATCAATTGTAGCATATTGTACAGGCTCTATTATTTCGTAATCAGAATCATCTCTTGTTAGATCAATAAAATCTCCAAAACTCAATTTTTTACATCTTTCTTCGCATGTTAGATCAACGAATACTTCGCCCATGACGATATCATCGAATATTTCAGTTATGTTTGATTGATCAGCGTCAATTATTTCGTCTATTATTGTTATATTCTCACATGTCGAATGTTGTTGAATTTTAGCCTGAAAGGAAATTCTTTTAGCCAATAATTTCTTTCAAATTTATTCAACTTACATCGTCTTCTGAGTTAAAAGACTCTGAGATTGAACAATCAGTTTCTTTTAGCTGATTTTTCTGCTTCCAAGTTCCCATAACGCAAGATTTGCATAAGAGAAATAGCTGTAAGAATTTCAGACTTGAACATATATACACAAATATAAAAAACTAGTAAAGAGGTGACCACATTTCTTGAAAAGAAAATGCGCTAAAAACTTGACTCTCGTAACAAATTGCATGCTTGCACACTTCTAAGATACTTACATTGACACCATCTTCAGAAAATTTGCCACAAATAGAGCAGATAGAGTCGTCTGCAAACATTCTATAAAGCACAACTTTTGTGCTAAATTTTGCAAGTCTTTCGTTCGAATATTCTAATTTGTTTTCCCAAAACATGTCCACTAGATCATTTCTGTTGTTTATCCACTTTCCTTTTATAACTTCAGGAAGTTCAGCCTTAATTAATGTTGAATTTGAGCTAAGATGCAGCACAAAATATTGTTTATCGAAACCAATCTTTTGATCTTCCATTAGCTCATTTATTTTCTTCATTATGTCAGTCGTAGCATCCTTTTCGGCAGCAATAATTGCTTCTTCAAGTCTAATCGGCCACATATCAGAATCAATATAAGGAATATTGTTAATATCTTCCCAATTCTCATCGTCCGCAAACTTCTTGATTCCACTAAATGATTCTGCAATATGTTCATCAACTGCCAATTTCATTAATTTTTTATACCAATCTCCTAATCTCCCCTTTGTTGGCATCTTCATATCAGATGGTTTCTCGTGAAAAATATAGTCTACATCACGCTTTGGTGGACAGCTCCAAATAAATATTCGTCGAAAGTTTTTCATCTTTAAATATTTAAATAATCCGAGTAGAATAAATTGATAGATTTTTGTTCGTTCCTTAACGATACACAGTTTGACAGAATCAATGTAGCTAAGATATACTGAATTCTTGTTTGGAACTGGACACTTCGAGTTACCATAAAGCTGGAAATATATTCCGAAGAAACAAATTTCTGTGCCATCGGATAATTTGAGAAAGACGAAAATGACGCAATTATTATAACTTATTTCATGTCCATAATTTTTATCTTGATACTTGGCAATGACAGGATTTATGGTGAAAGTTGTGGGCACGTTGCTTACCAATCTTACTACAATATTAACACAATTTGGAATTTTGTGCTGTCTTAAGAAATTTTCGATATAAGTGTCACATTCTGTCTTTGCAATCTGTTCCGAAGAGATGTTGATTATTTTCAGCTCTGGTTCTCCAATTCTACATCTTTGACAATAAAATGGTATTCCTGATTGCTTGATGTGCAGAACACAGCGCTCGTGAAATAACTTTTTGCATTTAGTACATGATACAAAATCTTCAGACTCCTCATTGGTGTAGAAGCAGAATTTAAAATCTGCTTTATTGACGGATCTGGAATGAATAAATGGTAATTAAAGTTAAGATCAGGAATGTAAATAACCTTATTACTAACATATTATCGCCCAATTTGATGCCTGTGCTCGGAAATTTTCTCAAACACTTTTCACAAAAAGCCCAGGAACCGTATCTGAAATAAGCAGCATTTGGTTTTACTATACACTTCCTTGAACCTGAACATTGAATTTTCTTTGATTTTCTTGCATGCCAAAATCCGCAACAATATCCTCTTCTCTTCATAAATTTGTCTATTTTCCAATCAAATTGCTGCTTGCACTAGTTAAAAAATAAGGCAATTAAATTGCAAACTTTTTCAAATATCATTTAATCTTACATCTATTGCCAATACATAAATTGGCATTCTGCTGATAAAATTATTGAAAATAAATTCAAAACATTTGCTGACATCCTCAATAAACATCCAGTAATTTGATATATAAAGTCCTTTGTTCAAATTATCCTCAACTTTTGATAAATTTATTACGTTTTCATAATTAATAATCTTGTCTTTAACTATTGGATTAAAAATTGAGTGTCTTCCAGTATCTTGTCTATGGAAATCCTGAATTAAATCCGTAAACGTTGTTTCCATGTTTGCTTTACAAACTTTTTATATAATTTATAAACTGTAATTAGAATTCTCGTTAATTAATTCACTTCTTCTTACCTTCCATCATTAAATTAAACTTTATTAAATTTTTGGTAAAATTTGCTCTTCCACAGGGCAATTCTTTGGATGAGTGGAATTTGAAAAAAATGAGCTTTCATAATCCAATGTCAATGAGTTTTGTGTCAAAAAAATGTTTTCTTTAATTTCATATTACTGTGAAGGAATAATAAGCCAGAACTTTCGTAGATCATTAAGCATAATTAATTCTTTACAAGTGATCTATTGAAATGTTACAACTCACCCAAATTAAGTGAAAAATTGAAAAAATATGTTTGAAAATTTTGTATTTTTTCACGGATTAAGACAAAAAAAAAGCTTCTTTATAACTCGATGACACAAGGAAATTTTTCAAAGAATTGAAATATTTCATTAATTACTGGCTTAATGCACACAAAAAAGCAACCTAATTAAAGATTTTTGTCTGTTCTATAACTCAGTAAAAGTTATTCAATGTTAATTTCAATAGTTTTCTCTAATTTTCGATTCTTTGGATGATGAAAATTGAAAATTCCGATTTCTGTCATCGAGTTATTGACAAAAGAATCCAAATAACTTAATTAATACAGCGATTAGAAGTATATGATATCAAAAGGAGTGTACATTTTATATTTTTACATCGATAAGAGTCATAAAATCAGTGCCTCTGATGGGAAAAATTAATAAAATTTCGATTTTTTGCTGAAAATTTTCCGAAAGTCATCCAAAGAATTGCCCACAACAAAAGAATTGATTTCAAACGGAAAATTAATTCCACGCAATAATTTAAGTTTTGGTTTTAACGGTTTTAACTGGTTTTAACTCGTAATTTAAGTGAAATTACGCATCAACTGACGTAATAATTATACTTTTATACAAAAGTTTCATATCCATATCTTTATAGTTCTTGAGTTATTAGCGATTGAATTTTGAAGTTTAGGCCCTTCAAAAATGATATAACAATCATGGGATAAAAGTGAAAACCCTTAAAAGCTTTGTTGATTTTTACAGGCTCTTAATTCCAAGCTTTTTTTTTTTCTCGCTCAGCAACTTTTTTTAAACTTTTTATGCCACATTTTCATGATATATGTAAATCTCATTCATCAAAATTAATTCCAAATTTGTAATAAAGAAAAGATTAATTCCAAAAAGAATTTTTAATTTCTACCATTCTGATCAAAAGTTATTAGCAGTTCATTTTTGATTGATTTTGAACCGATACAAAACCGATAGAACCGTTTCAAAAATTCCAAACATGGTGGAATCGTATAGCTGAAATAGAGGCCTTTCCAGCAATATATACTTTGTCTTACTTAATTTGGACCATAAATTGGCTATAGTTCATTCAATGTCGTCAACTGACTTACGACAAAACTGCTAAGAATCATCTAATTATTAGAATTTTTCGAGACCTCATAGTTATCTCAGATCTCGAGATGTCCAAACTCGTTTAATATCCATTTGTACTGCTGACAGGACTTTTTCAATAAGATCTTACATATCAACTTTCCGAAAATAATTTTAATAATACAAATTATGCATTACATTACATTTACTTCTTCCGAGAGAAAACGAAATACAAAAATTATTTTAATTTGATAATTCTCTCTTGAGATATGGGCTTTTAAACATTTCGACGAGTTTAGATTTTGGACACAAATGGTCAACTTTTTGATACATAAAGGAATCAAAAATATTATCTATCAAAATACATGTCCTTTTTCCGAGAAGATACGAGAAGTTAAAATATTTTCATTTCGACTTCAAATATTTGAGTTATAAGCTAAAGCCAGGAATTTATAGAAAAAATTCCAGATTAGAAAAAATCGTGAACATTTAATGATACACGATGATACACGATGACACGCGATGACACACGATAACAAACGATGATACATGATTATACACGATTACACAAGATGATACACGATGATACACGATGACGTGTGAAAATTACTGTTTTCCTAATTACTTTGCTTCAATCTCGAACCTAGAAAATGAAACAAATCCTCAATTGTTACTAGACCAGCACCATTAGTAGCTTCTATAGATTTTTATTATCTATTTAGACTTAAAAGTATAAATTTAAAGAAGTTGCCAGTGAAGTTAAAATACGTTCCCAAGTACATACAAAGCTAATAAAACACTCTTTAATAGCGACAAATGACTTAGCTGGAATATAAAAAGAAGCTTAATTTTTTAAGCCATCACTTCCAAATAGTAAGAGGCAATCGTGGACATTCTCAAAATTTTTTAACATAGATTAACTCTCCCTTAAGATAATCAACTGCTAATCGAGTCATGCGTACAAGCGAAAGAACTAAAATTTATAAATTTGAGAGGACTGTATACACAGCAAGAACTTTTGAGGAATTTGTGAGACAAAGATATGATGTAAGATACTCAAGAAGGTATAGGTGCCTATGTCAAGAAACTGATGAAGAAGCAGCAGAAAGAAATGAAAATCTATCGATCAAGCAAGGAATCCCAACAACGTGTAAAAATTGTCAACAAGAGACTTTCGAATCAAATATATAAAGAGAACAAATTGCAAGAAAGGAGTCATAAAACAATCATAAAGATTTGATCGATCAGGACTTTGTGAATAAGTTTAAAACATGATAAGTTATATTTTACACTCACTGATTCCAAAAAAGAGAAGCAAACGGACGATGATCAACGAAGATGTTCTGTCTGAATAATAAGCAGGTTCATCAGTTCTTCCAAAAAGTCCAACAGATCATCAGGTAAGAAATAAATCTCGAATTCCAGATATAAGTTATTTGAACTAAAATAGATATAAAACAATTAAGCGAATAATGAGAATAATGAATTAATTAAATCAGTTCCAACTAGTTAAAAGCTTCAACTAAACTTTATTTGATTATGAACACGTAGAATTTAATGCTTACTTTTATATCTTTATGATGCATCTTTTCTATATACGCATCTTATTGTACTTGAATTTGCATTTAATTGGCTAATCTAAACTTCTTCATCTTCTTTCCTTAAAATGATTTGGTGCCTCGTATTCACTTCATTGTTGAATATTTAAAAAATACGCAAAAAATTAGAAATTTTCAATTTTCAAAGATTACCTTGTTGATGTTTTTCCTTTAAATTTTCTAATTTTGATAGATCAACGTGATCTGTAATGAAAATAAGCTATAAAGCAACGTCTCTTATCGTTAAGCTCAAACTCAAAAATCTGATTTTTTGAACTTTTGTGAATTGAAATGAAAATGAACTCAATTTAAATTGTAGCATAAGGCTCAGCTTGGAGAAAAATTGTTTAGTATACGGATACCAATCCAATTTTAACATTGAATAGAATGTAAAGCATCATAATACATTGTCTAAATCAAAATGAAATTGGATGAAATTTATCAAATGACTTCAGTGCATTTTTTGAACAGCGATCAGTATTTACTTCTCAATAATATTCGAGTCAATATGCAAATAATTCCAAAAGTTTGCATTTATCAAATCTTTCTTGCTGTACTTTACAAATCTTTTACATAAGGTTCAGATAATATTAAGTTTTGTGGCAAATTTAATTAACAAGGCTAATTAAAGCATTTTCAACATTTCTAGTTCTAGATTCTATGGACCTTTAATTCATAGCAACTTATTACAAGGTATGATGACAAGAATAACGTGTATATAGAAATTCAAGAATTATACAGAACTTTACACAAGTTCAGAGATTAAATTCAACCTTCGTGTTCATTGATCTGTAGCATGAACCTTATTCCAAAATATTTAAAACATTGGTTATGGGTGCATCATCCAGCTCAAATTCTCATAAATTATAAATCACATATTCACATCAAGACTCTGATGACGTTATTGATTCTGGAACTTCTAGTGAGAGGCTAACTGCTGATGAATCTGAAGACTTTAATGATGAATTATAACATTTAGTTGACCTTTGTATTACATCGTTTTCAAAGCCAGTAAGGAAAGTTTATGTTTTCGACTATTTCGAACTTTTTGCTGCTCCCAATTCCAAGAACTTGAAGTTAACGATTCTTCTTGATTAATGATTATCTGCTCAGATGCTCTGAGAATTCTCTAATCGAAAACTCCAAAGCTTGTTTATATGTTTGAATGATATGATGGATCTTTGCTAAGATGTGAGCAAACATGACTCAATCTATAGTTTATCTCCAGATGTTCATTTTGTTAAAGTTATAAAATTAAACTATATTCAGCCTCCTCTTAATGCACTTAAAAGTATGACTTCATCAATTTTGCTTGTGGTGCTATTTTCGCCCAATTAAGGCCAGATACTTTCTTTGATGTATTTTTTCAACAAAATGTAAGCACTCAAAGTGCCGAAAAGAAAATTGAGCAGGACGTTGGGGCATTTTCTCCTTTTGTAGTCATAAAAATGCTATATAAGAAGTTGTAAAAAAACAATTTGATTTTCGACTAAAGTTCTGGATGACTCAAAACATATTAAAATACAACTCAGCGATGCATTCTCATTGATTAAACCATAAGACCAAACTGCACACCAAACCTTATATGATCAAAAATGATTTTTTGCCTTCATTGTCGAAAAACACAAATGGTGTTAAAAGGCCGAGCTGACATGGCGATACAGTATTTGGAGATACTTCTTCATAAATGTTTGTCTTATGATTTAAGATGTTCGGCTTCTCACGTTCCTTCTCCAATGAACAATGATGATGACATTCGATGCTGATTGATTTGCTTGCATCATGAGTGAATTAGTGATTTGCTACCGTTCGAAGATAAAACACAATTATAAGTTTCTTGAGGATGATTCATAACGATTTTGGCACAACTTATTGGTTGAATCATATTAATTGAAATATTTCCCAAATTAAGAACACTGTGTTAATTAAATTAAATTTAAACCGCTTTAAACGGTTAAATTACCGGTTCAAAGTTTGTAAGACAGAAAAAAAAGTAAATTGATATAAATTGGAGACCC